CCCCTTCTCTCCAAGGGCCCTTCTTCTGCCTCTGTAACTTCTTTCCTGAATCCATTTCTTCTATGGCTCACTTTTTCTACCTCTGTGACTTTCTTAAATAAAATTTATCTTATCGTTTGAGTTTTGGCTCTGAATTCTTTCTTAGCCAGAACTCAAGAACTGAGGTGAAAATAAAAAAGCGCCCTGGCCAGTGTGGCTCAGTTGGTTGAGCATCATCCCAGACACTGAAACGTCAGTGGTTCAGTTCCTAGTCAGGGCACATACCCAGGTTTCAGGTTCAATCTCCAGTTGGGGTGCATATGGGAGGCAACCAATCAATGTTTCTCTCTCTTTTTCTCTCTTTCTCTCTCTCCCTCTCTCTGTCTTTCTCCCCCTCTTTCTAAAGTCAATTTTCAAAAACCATAATAAAAATAAAGTCTGTTAAAAAATAAAAAGGTCAAGGGAGAAGAAAGTGTCAGAAAGGGAAACGTCAAATGTTACAGAAAGGCCTGATAAAGTATGCATTATGTCCTTTTGATTTAATAATCAAAAAGTTGCTGATCTTGGTAAAAACAAAAAACAAATGATGGAGCATTGAGGTAAAAGCAAAATTATAGTTGATTTGTAGGAGTGAATAGGTCATTTCTAGGTCTCGCCCTCCCAAACTGAGAGCTTCTCACAGAGCCCCCTCTTACTCACCTTTAACTCTGCAGTGCTGTTCTTGCCCTGTGCTTGGTACTATGCTTCTATTAATGCAGCTCAAGTCGCTTGTTTGTTTTAGCTTCTTTAGCAGCCACTTCACACTGATAACTAAGCTTTTAAGAATTTTTCACACATTTATTGAGCTTTGTCATTTCCAGTCCTATCTTTGCATGATTAGAGTTTGAGGCCCAAGGGCACAGCCTCAGATGTTCATATGAGGCATGTTAAATTCAGCCCATTATCATGGCTTTATCATTTTGTCTTAGGATTCTAGTTTTGTCATTTGAAATAACCCACACTATTGTGTTTCTTATGTTTTTGTTTTTGTGTGTGTTTTTTTCTAGTATAAAACAAGCAAAGAAGGAAGTGTAATGGGAGTTACAGTGTCCCGCCTTGCAATGTTGTCTCACTGCCAAGCTCTGTCCCAGGCCTGCAATTATTCTGAAGGTCAGACTTCATCCCATGACTGCCCTCATTGTGAGCTTCAGATACATTAGACTACGAGCAGAGTGCTTAACGATTGGTTGCCAGTTAATAACCAAATTCAGAGTGAAATGTTTTAAGACACATTCTTGGCTTGCATTTGCTTTCTTCTTTTTCACAAATATGCTGCAATTTAAAGGAACTAAAATTCTGGGCAAACCAACTATGTGAAGTATGATTTCTAGAGTGCAGAAACAGAAAACTAATTAAAGCCACCTGTTTGTTATTAGCTGCGGAATCTCAGGTATCTCCATCTTCCCATGTGTATAGAACTGTCACCAACTGTACATTTGGAGTTAAGAGTCAAAGAAATTCAGCTACCCAAAAGCACAAATCAAAACACAAAAGTGTATTCTGTAGGATGCTTAAAAGTATAAGAGTGTATATGTAGATCTAATATATAGATATATATGTACCAACATTTTTTCTGTCTCTAGGAATTATAATTTTTACATTTGTGAAACTTCCAAAGTTCCTTATATAATTAGGGAAAAAGTCTTGCCCCTCAGAAGATAGTATCTAAGTCATAAGGAGTTTGGAACTCATTGTCTCTTCTGTGGCCCTGCCACTCTATGATCAGTCCCTCAGTTAATTTAAGGGGATCCTCAAGTAATCAAAAGACCCTAATAGCTTCTAGCGATCTCTATAGAAGTACCAAACCAGCTGTTCAGCAGAGGCAAGTAATATGATTTTGCTACTTAACACTAAAGGTGATTTCTTTGGTTTCCCCCCACCCCCCTATTTTTTCTATTTCAGGAGAAACAGTAGTAAATGTTTTAGACTTTAAGAAGGATGCCGGGCTGTGGCATGGAATGTTTGCGGTAAGCTACTCAGAATTAAGGCCTTTAGTATAAATCTTATGATTCAGGTCAGTATGCATGTGGTGTAACCAGAACATCTCTCAGTGCTTATTTGAAATTTAAGCCCAAAAGATCAATAATATTTTCCAGAGTGATTTATTTTATAATACAAATGGTAATTTTTTTAAAGGAGAATGTAATTCTGTTTTTTTCTTCATTTTGTGGTTGAGCATACCCCTCACATAATAGTATATGGGAGAATTTAGGATCTATAATTTTTAAAACATTGGTTATGATGGCTCAAAGCCTAAAAGATTCTAAAAATAACTATGTATTTATTTATGATTTTTAAAAGTATGTTTGAGATTTACCTCTTCTTCCTGAAGAAAGGGTTACATAAACATATTTAGAACGTGACAACTGTCATTAATTAACATCTAACTTTTCCACTGGACAAAATGTATTGAAAGTCTGCATGCTACCATTAAGGAATAGAGTGGCAAGGTAGATCAGGCTGCTTTCCATAGGAGGGAAACAGGTAACGTGCTATGGGAGTTGGAGAAAGGTGAGTTCCTCCCAGCTCTGGCACAAAGGCCCTATTTATGGAAGAGGTGACAGTTGAGTTGGACTTTTTGAAAAATGGCTAAGATTTAGCCATATTAGAGATAATTTGTGGTAAAGGTAGAGAAAGGGGACATTTCAAGTGGGGAAAGCTATCATATGTAGCATGGTGATTAGGAGGAGAGAAAAAAGAGATACAGGATCCTAGAGTTGAAAGGGACCTTTGAGAGTATCTTGTTCAACTTCCTTACACATTACAGGAGTCAGAAAGAGTAGGAAATGAGGCATGGGGGAAGAGGAGGACCCTTCTTTTCACTCAGGACCCCTCAAATTAGTAAGAGCCTATTCTTCGAGTGTACATACTTCCTAGCTCTTTTCTGAAGCCCTTCCGATTGTCTTGGTTTTTTTAAAAATATATCTTTATTGATTTCAAAGAGAGGAAAGGAGAGGGAGAGAGAGATAGAAACATTAATGATGAGAGAGTCATTGATCGAGCCCTCAACCCGGGCATGTGCCCTGACCAGGAATCGAACCCCAATCGCCTGGATCCTAGGTCGACGCTCAACCGCTGAGCCAACCCCGGCGGGGCCCGATTGTGTTTTAATTTATTGATTTTAGAGAGGGAGAAGGAAATACCGATTTGTTGTTTCACTTATTTATGAATCATTGGTTGCTTCTTGTATGTGCCCTGACTGGAGATGGAACCCACAACCTTGGCATATTTTGACAACGCCCTAACCAACTGAACTACCTGGCCAGGGCATCATTTTGTTTTTTATCAGAGATTTTAAAAAACCTTGCGAGGAGTTAGAGGGACAGCATGAAGTATTAGTTATAAATACCATTCTTTCTTTGAAATCCAAAAATTTGTCACCATACCTAGAAACTTGGGGAGGAAAAAGAAATTAACAATGGTATCTTGGTTTCTTTGGACCACTTAGGTGGTGAGAAAAATGGCCAGTCTAAATACCAAGACTTATTCTACTGGGCTTGGTCTCTTTGGTGACAGGAGATCTTGGGTATATTCATTTGTTTGGGTGACAGGAGACACCAAATTGTATGGCCCGCTCAGCTCACTAATCTTTATCTATTCAAATACCCAACAGGTATGGACAGGACCTCCTATAGCTAACAGAGAAACATCCATATCTTGTTGTAATATCCAACCCTTTGTGGTATGCGGCAAGTGCATGGGTTTGAGGGCAGTTTGGCAGTATCTGTTAAATTTTAGAAACATATCTTATGACCCAGTACCACTTTTCTATATCTACCTTAGAGAAACCCTTGTACACATACTCAGGGAAGTATAAATATGCTTCTTGAAACATTGTTTGTAATAGCAGAAACATTGTCAATAATAGGGAAATGCCTAAATAAATTGTGGTGTGGTCATACTGTGGAATACTATACAGCAGTTCAAAAAGAATTGTATAGATCTCATACTGATGTGCAAAGATTTAGCTCTAAAACAATTTAAGTGAAAAAAGCATGTTGTAGATATATGTATAGTATTATACCTTTTATGTTAACAGTTCTTTCTGTTTCCATGGGGACAAATATATATGTAAATACATAGCAAAAGGACTGGAAGGATTCATACCAGATTCATACTAGTGATTATCTCTGAGGAGGAGAGGGCAGGACCTGATTTAAGGGTAGATAGCAAAGGAGACTTCAACCTTACAGTTAATATTTCAGATTTTTTCAGAGAGTGTGTATTTGAGTATTTATTACAAGTATGATTAAAATTATTAACAAAATATCAGTTTCATTTTTAAATTCTGTCTGTGTGTTCGGTATTGACTACTTTTTATCTTTGCTTTTCAGAATGTAATGAATAAGATGCACACAGTTAGCGTACCCTACTCTGTTATGAAGACCTGCCCTCTCTCTTGGGTCCAGAGAGTGCATGCACACAAAGGTAGTTACAGCACCTAAACTTTAATTATGTAACTGTTTGAACTAACATTCCAGGGATTTTCAAACTGCCCTTCTAGAGACATAATTCTGGGCCTTAGTGGCTTGACAAATTTTAGAGCTCAATTGCTAAACTTTGGTGTGTTGTCATTTTCATCTCATGTGATGTCCTTTCTTAAGAATTGAGATGAATTTGCCCAAATTTGAGCCCTAAATCAGATTTATTGAGCGCTTTGGTGTTCATGGCTTCCTTGGCACAGATGTATGGCATGCCTGCAGGTCACAGTGAGCAAGCAGTTGTGTCTAGTTACTCACTGCTGCCTCAGAGCACCTGGCATAATTTCTTTGAAACATTTTGTATTTTCTCTAAGTGAAAATCATGATCCCTAAAATAAGTAAAAGTTTTTATTATAGTATATTAAATTACCAAATTTAGCATGTATATGTGTGTTAACTTTATCCCTTTTACATTTGTAGCCAAGGTAGCTTTAGTAAAATGTCGAGACTTGCACTGGGCTATGATGGCACATCGAGACCAAAGGGATGTGAGCTTGAGTTCCCTCCGGATGTTAATTGTGACTGATGGAGCTAATCCCTGTGAGTACTTCTAGAGTGTGGGTCTGGGACTATTCTTTCCTAAACATTTGTATTGAGATATAATTCACATGCTATGAAACTCACCCATTTAAAGTATGCAGTTTAATAGTTTCAGTGTATTCACAGAGTTATGCAGCCATTGCCATGATCTAAATTTAGAGCATCATCACCCCAGAAAGAAACCTCGTACCCGTTAGTAGTCATTCCCCATTTACCCTCCACTGTCCCCTACTCCTAGGCAACTGCTCTTCTACTTTCTGTCTCTATAGAGTTACCTGTTCTGGACATTTGATATAAATGCAATTATACTATATTGGTCTTTTGTGATGGGCTTTTTTTATTTGCTATAATGTTTCAAGGTTCATCCACATTATAGTATGTGTTCATACTCCGTTCCTTTGTGCTACCACGTGATAGCCCATTGTATAGATACACTATACTTATCTGTTCATCATTTGATGGCTCCATAGGCTTTTTTTTATTCTCCCCTGAGAATGTGTTTATTGATTTTAGAGAGAGAGATAGAAAGAAACATCGCTATGTGAGAAAGAAATCGATTGATTGCCTCCTGTATGGGCACAACTGGGGATCGAACCCACAACCTTTTGGTGTACAGATGATGCTCCAACCAACTGAGCCACCTTAGCCAGGGCCCATATGCTTTTAAAACCACTCCTTCTTGCTCTCTCATTTATATCCCTTTTCTATCATGTAACCAAAAGGAACGGTAAGAGGGCAACTTGATGTAACCAAGGGTCTGGACTTTATGTAAATCCCCCCTAGCAGCAAAGCAAGTTTGCAAAAAAGCTTTTAGAGATCTCTCATGTCACCTGCTTCCCCCCACAAGCACAAGCATCCTGAGCTTCCACACAGTAGAACCAGGTAAAATGTTAGGTACTGTGTCCTTTGTCATAATGCATTTTTGTCAGTAGTCATGTTAATCATCTTGGTATAATAAAACACAGACATGGGACTGACTTTAATAAGAAACAAGTCAGAATATCACATAGAAGAGGGTGGAACTTAGCCGGTGTTAAGTATAAAATAGTAACTTCAGGAGGAGTTGCTCAGTTCCCGACTGGCCACAATGCATCTCTACATCTCTGCTATTGATTGGGAAGTTTGGTAGGAGCAGCTTTACTCCAGGTTGTAGCTCTAAATAGTGTCAGTGACCTCTCATGGTCTGAATGAACATTCCTTTGTCCTTGAAATATATCAACTGTCTCACAGGCACAGTAAAATGTGTGGATGGAATTAATGATATACAATGAGAGTTCTCATGAGAAATAAATGTATTGGCTTTCCACTCTTTACCAGTTTCCTGCAGTAATGAAAATCACAATGTCAGCTTTCAATTTGATCTGTTCCAACTCCTTGTAGGGTCTGTGTCGTCCTGCGATGCCTTCCTGAGTCTGTTCCAGAGCCACGGGCTGAAACCTGAGGCCATCTGTCCGTGTGCTACTTCTGCTGAAGCCATGACTGTCGCCATTCGCAGGTATTGTTCAGAACATCAGTGCTCTTGATGTATGTTACAGCTTTGATCAAATGTGCAGTATTTACCAGGCAGTGACAAGGGGTATTAACTAATTTTCTGCTTCATAAGCCTAAAAGTGAAAATGACTTTGGAAAGCAGTTTGAAGCATCTCATTTGTTCTTCCCACTCTTGCACTAAGTGTAACTGGTAAACTGAAAATTTACTTTAATTATTCTCATCTCATTTATATGAATTAGTTCTTTTTCTGTGCTGTTTTGCTCTTCCGAATCCTCAGTTAGCATCTTAGAGTAGAAATAGGCTATTCTTGATTGTAACCTAAGTATGGAAAGTACACTTACAGCATACCCAAGACTAATACATACTTAACAACAGATTAAAATGTACTTTTCCTCCTGAATGAAAGTTGACCATGCTTTGTACATGTGAATTTGATTAATTTGGCATGTTTTTGGTTGAGAAAATGAGGATTGTGTATGCGTGTGTCTGATAGCCAAAGGAAATTTGCTTTCCTACATATTCATATTTTTCTCTTGATATTTCATTTCCTAAATTTGATGAGTTTATTTTGTTTTCAGGCCTGGAGTTCCAGGGGCCCCTTTGCCAGGAAGAGCCATTCTCTCAATGAATGGATTGAGCTATGGGGTAATACGGGTCAATACTGAAGATAAAAATTCAGCACTAACAGTTCAGGATGTGGGACATGTAATGCCTGGCGGTGAGTCCTCAGGAGCACCATTTGGTTTTTCACAAAGACTTGTCATTAGAGATTGTAGAGACTGATAAAATACGGATCCAAAACCAGGAATCCAAGATTTAGTACTTAGTCACCTAGTTTCTCAAAGTCTCTCTAACAGTTACATAATTCTAATTATACTTACCTTCCTGAAGTACTGTATGATTTAATTGTGAATGCTAATTACAGTTGTTCACGTGGAAAGCAAAGTACTGAGTGATATTAAAGTTGTCTGGTTTTCACTCTAATTGCCAAGCCATTGGGACTGGCAGAAAGAGCACACTGCTTCCATGAGGTTTGAGTTTGATCTGCCTAGGGGTAAATTAATTTAACCTGTTTCTTTGGACTTTGCAGTCATTTTTAATGTCACTATCTTTAAAAGCTTCGGGCTGCATCTGTTGTATGGGGGGGGGGGTGCGTTCCTAAATTAAAAAATTATTTGTCTGTCCTCAGGGTTAAAAGATGGACATTTCAAATATACCTATGTAGTTTCAGGTCTACTTTTAACATTCTTCTTTGGTTATTCTTACAAGGCCACTCAATAAACACAAACTTTCCTGGGTTCACAAGGATGAAGCGAAGGTCTTCCAGGGCGTCTGTTTCTTACCTGTGGTTTCTGTACACTAGGGATGATGTGCATTGTGAGACCTGATGGACCTCCCCAACTCTGCAGAACAGATGAAATTGGGGAAATCTGTGTCAGCTCCAGAACAGGAGGCATGATGTACTTTGGGCTTGCTGGTGTGACCAAAAATACATTTGAGGTACATGATTATTAAAATTTTGCAAGGAAAATGTTTGGTGAGGGTGTCACTAGGGCAGGGCAGGGCAGGTGAGCTGGCTGATGGGAAATAGCATAATGTATAGTGCATTGTGCGCATAAGCTCTAGAGCTGGACTGCCCTAGTTTGAATCCTAACTCTGCCACTCACTAACTGACCTTAGGTGAGTTGCTTAACCTCTTTGTGCCCAGTTTCTTTATATTTAAAATGTGAGTAATCACACTATCTACGTCATAGGAATGTTGTGAGAACTAAGTGAGCTAGTGTTTCTAAAATGCCTAGAACACCAGGCCCACAGGAAGTGCTACTGCTTATCTGTTGAATGAATGAATGAGAGGCCTGACAAAAATTCCTCTGGTGAATATGCCATGGTTTGAACTTTATAAGCCGAAATATTTAATTTGGAAGAGTATATAGTGAGAATCCATCTCAAGTGTAAATTCAAGTTAACTGAGTTCATGAAGACAGATGTAAACCACAATGCCAGGTTACTAATAAAAAATGAAGGACCTTTCTGTCACAGGAGCAGATTGCTCCTGTATTCAAACTTCAGTGAGACAAGTATTTATTGAGCACCTTCTATGTGTCTGGCACCATTCTAGATGTTTGGGGTACATCAGGAGAACAAACAAACAGGGCTCCTGAAATAGCTCATATTCTAATACAACTAGTACATTGCTTTCCTGCAGGCAGTTCTGCATGTGTAGCCTAATTGTAATGAAAGTTTGCCTGGTGAGCCTGGAAATCAGAACAGGTGTTAATTGTCTGTATTTTATAATTGGGATTAACCTGCCTCAGGGTACCTTCTAGGGAACAGAGAACGTCAGTTTATGGGCCATGTCCCTTTCATACTAGACAGGGCTTATATGACTGCAGCCAATTTTCAGTTCTTCAGGCTTCCTTTTTCTATAATTTAGAGTAGTGGTTCTCAATATGGCAGTGCACATCTACCATCCCATTTGAAAATCTGCATGTAATTAGGTAGTGATAGATGTAGCTGGTGGGAAAGTGTGTTTATGCAAATGGTGTGGTATCTGAATAAAAGTTTAAAATTCCTGAGCTGATTATTATTTGTATTTACACAGCCTAAAGTAGTATAATATAAGTGATTAAATGTCTGTTTTTACTATCATCATCACTATTACTGCTACATTCTTGCCCTACCATCAAAAGTTAAGACCAGGTCACCTTGATAGAAGTAGACATTCATAAACTCTTCAAGCATGTGTTTACTGCCAGGTTTACTTTCAAGTGACTAAGTGCATATGCATTTTACTAATTTAAATCTTGCCTTATTTCTCTTATTTTAAAAGTGCTTAGGCTACATATACTTCCAGTACCAGAATTTTTCCATTGCATTTTCCTTATAAACAAATCCTCAAGCAGTGTTTGAAGATACTGATAATTTTTTGTTATGTTGCCTTTCCTATGGGGACAACTGCCTGATCAAAATTCTCAGATTTAATACCAAACTGCTAGGTCCATAGTAATGAAGAAAATTTGACACCTGCTGTATAAATTTAATGATAGTGAAGTAGAATACAAATCCTAACTGAAAAGGAGAAAACTGTTGCCTTAATTGGCAAATTAACATTTCTGATATTTTTCTCACTAGATTCTTATATATAAACCCTGACGTTTTTCAACGTGGTTAACATTTCACTAGGACAAAAGACCTAGTAATAATGACTGGTCAGAAAATAAAAGTGTATTTCCCAAATAAGCTACTAGTGAGAAAAACTTTTTAACACATATGATAGCAAAGCGCTAATTTTCCATTGCCCTCACTTCTTAGCTGTTTGATTTGAGGCAAATGAAACTTTGTGTCTCACTTTCTCGTCTGTAAAATGGAAATAATAATCCTGTTTCATAGGGTTGCCTTGAGGATTAACTGTAAAACAGCTGGTGCTGTAGCTGGCACATAATAAGCATTTAATAAATGTTAGCTCTTGTTACAATCGTTCCCTATATAAAAAAAATCTTAAAAATTAAAGGGAAAAACACTAATCAAATAGAGCAAAAAACCAGGAGAACAGGAATAGGCTATTTATAAAAGAAATACAAATGGCCAATAAGCAAAGGAAAGAAAAATCATCTACCTTACTAATAAAGAAATGCAGTTAAAATAACAGTGAGATATCTTTTTTTTTTTTTTGCGTACCAGATTGGCAAAGTTTGGAAAAACTGGTAATGTATAGTATGAGTATAGGAAAAAGACATTCTGATATATTACTGGGGGAGTGTAACTGATGTAACAGTTTTATAGGAGAGCCTGTTGAAATTGAGAAGATTCATGCTTTTTATACAAATGAACAAAAATATGTATAGGAGTCTTCAGTAAAGCACTCTTTGTAATAGTGAACAATTAGAATGGCCTACACAGACATAAAGAATAGTTACTTTCCAATAGCTACTAATCCTAATAGTGTCCTGAGTACTGACTCTGGACCAGACACTGTGCTTATGTCTGCGAATCTATTTACATTCTCTTAATCTTTACCCTCAGCTTGTGTATGAGAGGCATTGGAGGTTTAGGGAAGTCCAGGAACTTGCCTGAGACCCACATTACTAGTAAGTGGCAGAGCCAGAAATCGAACTTACATTTGACTCCAAGGGCTATGTTACCCTGTCCTCCGTGCAGTGGTGTGTTACAGAACTATTGTACAAAGGGAACCAGACAGACTGTTACCAAATTGTAAAGGTATCCAAGATATATGAAAAGGGCAAGTTGCAAAGCAGTATATATAATATGAGTCCTTTAAAATAATTCTTTTTTTCTTTTTTTTTTTTAAGAATAGTTTATTGATTTTTGGAGAGAGTGGAAGGAAGAGGGAACTTGAGAGAGAATCATCGGGGATTGAACCCACAACCCAGGCATGTGTCATTGACCAGGAATCGAACTGGCAACCTCCTGGTGCTTGGGATGACGCCCAACCAACTGAACCACACCAGCCAGGGCTAAAAGAATTCTTAATATGCTAATATATGCCTCTAAAAAAAAGTCCAGAGAGATAAACAACAAATTGTAAATGATTGTTACCTCTTAAGGGGGGCAGGATACTGTATTCACTATATAATTTTAGTATGTATTAGTTGTACGTAATTTTAAAAAAACAACTTAAAGATGCCCAGCCAGCATGGCTTAGCGGTTGAGCATCAACCTCTAATCCAGTTGCTTGAGGTTTGATTCCTGATCCAGGCACATGTCCACATTGCAGGCTCAATCCTCAGTGGGTGGTGTGCAGGAGGCAGCTGAGCAGTGACTCTCTCATCATTGATGTTTCTCTCTCTCCTGGCCCCTTCTTCTCTCTGAAATCATTAAAGATACATTTTTTAAAAATAAGAAAATAAAGTTATTTTTAAAACTTAGACTTAAAAATCAAATACAGCTGGGTAGCTCAGCTGGTTAGAGTATTGTCCCGATATGCCAAGGACGGGTACAAGAATCAATGAATGCATAAAGAAGTAGAACAACAGATTGATCCCTCTCCCCCCCTTCTCCCTCCTCCCTCCCTCCTCCCTTCTTCCTTACTCCCCTTCTTCTTTCTCTAAAATCAATTAAAAAATCAGATACATTTTTTTGCAAGAGAAAACACCAAATTTAGTACGTGCATATGTATGGAAACCCTGTATACATGAGAGAGATCCCACGTACACGAGAGGCTCTTAGTTACATTTTTAAAGAAAAAACTCTTTCGTCACTTTGTTTTGTCCTTTAGGTGATTCCGGTAAATTCTGCGGGCTCTCCTGTTGGGGACATGCCTTTCATCCGGTCAGGATTGCTGGGGTTTGTGGGGCCAGTAAGTGATGTTTTCATGTTCGTTTTGATGCATCTTATTCAAAAGTTTGGGCTTTAATTTACAGACAGAACAAATTCTGATTAGTCCAGGAGTTTTACAGGGCCACTTGACTTACATTTAAAGCAGTTCCTATAAGAATGTGATAAATGAGTTAATGTTTATTGCTTCTGTTACCTAAGTTTATGTGACTCCTCCAAACAGACATTTTTTATTTTCAAAACTCTTCTCACTCTTGCTACCCTTCTTTGATTTGATTAATATGTTTCAATAAGTTAGAAGTGTGCTGAAAAAGTTCCCTTTAATGGCAAAGGGAAACCATAATAAATAGTGTACAAAGCATTTTCATACAAATTATCAGCAATACAACTTGTGTAATAGTAAATTCCTTTAATGAAAGCAATTTGTTTTTGTGCAAGTGGTATTGGGTTTATAGAGACAATTAGGACACAAAACCTGTTTTCAAAGAGCTTGTAGCTAGCTTCGTGAGCCAACAAGGAAGGCAGAGAGCCAGATCATGACTGCTTTGCATGATATAATGGGAAGTTTGGGTTTTATTTTATAAGTAATAGGTATTCGTTATCATAGTTAAGCCCATATATTCCTATCCATCTCTGATTACCTCCTTACTCTCTCGTCTCTTTAAGTTATATAAGGAAATATCTCATTTCATTATATTTCTTTCCTAACATTTATGGAGGGTGGTGGGGGCAAGGGAATTCCTCTAAGAGAATCACTCTCCTGGAAAGACAAGTCTGCACTTCTTGTCTTGACTTCCTAACTCCACCAGGAAATCCTTCAGGACCCAGCTCCTTTTAGCTTACTGCTCCACTATTGATGTCCAAGGTGGAGCTCCGGCCATCACATCTGTGTTCCAGGAAACAGGACAGAGGAAAGGGTGCAGTCCTACCATCTCTTAAGGAAGATTCCCTGAAGCTGCTGAGCAACACTGCTCTGAGCCAGTCGCACGGCCACCCTAGCCACAAGGGAGGAGGAAGGGCCGCCCTGCTGAGTCGGCCGTGCCCCCTGAAGTGCTGCTGCTGTGAAGAAAGTGACGAAGCACACGTGGCAGACTAGAAGTGGCTGCCTCATTCTCTTTATTCATTTCCACCGTAGCATTTCTCACACTATGTTGGAAATGAATGGTTCTCTTCTGTCTTCTAGGATGGACTGGTAGCTTCTTGAGACTGGAGGTGATGTCATACTTACATAGCCCAGTCAGTGCATGGCACTGCATTGTGCTCAGTAAATCAGAGTGATATCCACATGAAAGTGACTACTAGATAATGAATATATATAAATGGTACAAGAAATTTAGGAATACTATAGTGAATGGGAAAAGTTTATTGCAGATGGGTCTGGGAGAATTATTGATAGCAATTATGTTAAATAGTAAAATCAGGCAGTGGTGCTTTTAGGGCATTGACAGCATGCTTTCCTGCAGTTCTCTTATCTTACTGGAAAGGAGAGGCTCCTACAGTCTTCCTTTGACCTTTCTTTATTAGCAGCCTATCTATGATCTTGCCAGATGGAAACAGCATTACCCTAATAAACTTGAAACAGTTATTCTCACATTAAAACTTTTTATCTCTTCCTAATTTGAGTATTAATTGACTTAACATTTTTCTCTTCTGCATCCACCCCATGAATAGGCACAGAAGATAAATTAATACATAATCATGGCTGGGAAAATAAACTATGCTTGTGTGCCATCCTAGTTGCTTTTTCTTATAAAATTCCTCCCTAAGAATAAATATGAATGGATTCCCTTCTTATACACTGTCATTAATTATGAGGTGCCACTGATTTTTTCCACTGATTTCCAAGATGCTGAGATATGAAACACTTTCTCAGAATCCATAAAGTATGGCATTGTTTTCTGTCTTATATTTTTCATGAGATTTATTTCAAGGCGGGAAGTAAAATATCAGTTTTACTATTTAAATTATGGAAATTAAGGTAAATCATTGTTATCTTTCAGGGCAGCTTGGTGTTTGTGGTTGGAAAAATGGATGGGTTACTGATGGTTAGTGGTCGAAGACATAATGCTGATGACATTGTTGCTACTGGATTGGCTGTTGAATCAATAAAGACGGTTTATAGAGGAAGGTGAGTAGTGCAAAGTTCAAATGTTAACATTTTCAGTAGAATCTAAATATATCTATCGGGTGACCTGAGTTGTATTCTGTAGGTTCTCTTTCAAATGATTAGGTTATTTTTGGTTAAGTGTAGCAGAAACCAGGCTTTGAATGTTTGTATTAAACCAGCTGGTTTTTTGGCTATCATTGAGAGAAATAAGACATAACATATCCTGTATTTCAGTTTTTCATTATTACTATTTGTTGAGTCTTGAGGACTGAGGAGGATTCTAAAATGTTGGAGTTCCTACATTCCTTCAATATGGAAGTAGTCCCATTCAGTCTAATTGAGATAGATGCTACTCTGTAGAGTTTTACATCTAAGAACTGTTTTTCTTACTCATTTCTAACTAATTTATTATGTCATTTTAACACAGAGATTGACATAGTACATAAGTGCTAATTTCAAATTCCATGGATAAAGTCAACTAGATATCCTTTTTTCTTTGCTTATTAATTCAAGAAAAGGTTTTTGGTACATATTTGAATAATTGATGTCCTGTTCAGTAGTTTATAATCATGGATATATGTTTTTAAAGCAATCTTGCTATCCCTTTAGTTGTGAAGAAGAAAAATGAATTAAATCAATAGAGAGCCAGTTCTTGAAATGTGTAATTTTTTGTCATGGCGTGGCTTCCTATGAGGTGTAAACTCCATGGGGCACTAGACCTTCTGTCTTTGGGCACAGCTATATTCCCAACACACAGCACAGCACCTGGCACACAGTAGGTGTTCATTAAATATGTATGGATAAAAGGAAGGAAGGGAGATGGTCAGGTGTGCGGGTATATTCACATCTCCAGTGACTTCCCATTATTTCATGCACTCATTCAAGAAATATTTATTGGATGCCAACTGCATGCCACTGTTCTAGATGTTCACAGTGGGGTATTGAACAAAACAGGCCTTGTGAAGCTCACATTCTCATTGGGAGAAACAGATAGTAACCACATAGGGAAAAAGATAACGTATGAGATGACAAATACTATGCAGAAAAAGCATAGGGGTGGGGGTGTGCTTGCTAGTTTATGTAGGGCAGTCTGGGGATGCCTTACTAGTAAGGGGACGTTTGAGAGGAGACCTCACTGAAAACATCCCCCTCCCCTTGGCCTGCCAGGTCCTCCGTGACCACCTTGGCCTGGCTCTGACCTCTCCCCATCACTCTCTGCTTCGCCACTCCGCTTCAGGCACACTGGCCTTCTTGCTGTTCTTCAAACCTGCCAAGCTCGTTCCTACCTCAGAACCTTTTCGCTTTCCGTTCCTTCTGCCAGGAAACCTCTTCCTCCAGATCTCCGCGTGGCTCGCGTCCTCACTTCATTCAGGTCTCTGCTCCAGTGTCCGCTCCTCAGCAAAGCGCTCCCCAACCACCTGCCTTCACAGTATGCCCCGCACACCGCTCCGCCCCCTCGCCCTGCCTTAGTGTCCTCCTAGTGTATATTACAACATGACATTCTTTTATATGTGTGTGTTTGTTCTGTCTTTCTGACATACAAACTCCATGAAGACAGGCCCTGTGTCTTATTTATCACTGTGTCCCACATTCACGACAGTGGTGCTTAATACATGTTTTTTGAGTCCTCGTTTTGACAGTAATGATTGTACATTTTCTTTTCTAAACTCATTCTTGGCTAGTGTGGTGGGGATGTCCCTTCTCTGTATTTCAACTGAGCAAAACAAATAGGACTGGTTGTGAAGGGAGTCCTGATGTGTTTGATCTGTCTCTCTTAGAATTGCTGTGTTTTCTGTGTCTGTATTTTATGATGAGCGCATTGTGGTGGTTGCGGAACAAAGACCCGACGCTTCTGAGGAAGATAGTTTCCAGTGGATGAGCCGGGTGCTACAGGTGAGCACACCTTGGGTCTTTGTTGGGGCAGGTTGGCTTTGTTGTCAGATGTGGCAGCAATCCCTGATTTTCTTTGATGGACTAGTTATGCCACCTTATTTTTTTCTTGCCAGCCACCACTTAAATATTCTGGGTACTATTAGCAAAATTAGATAATTAATACCATTTCTCCTTATGGACCACATAGTATTTTTCTGCTCAGGTTGCCAAAAACAATTGAATTAACTCGTCTCAGCAAATTCTTTCACTTTTTGTTTCCTGAGTGTTTACAACTCATGAAAGTTTTAACTGTCCATATGTGGAACCCGTCTTTGACAGTAATCAGTCCACTTATCAACAGCTACAATCTCACTACATGTTAAAAGTGGTGCCCAGAGTGCAAGGGATCCAAGAAAATATAGGATGCTGTTCTTACTTTGAAGGGCTTTGCTGTGGATGTAGAGATCAGGTGACATAAACCATTCCAGAAAGAGAAAGATTTGGGTTCAGTATAAGGGATATGTTTCTAGAGGGGGCAGGGTAGAGTGATGAAAGGTGTCTGGTCTTCATTAGAATCACACTTTGAATTCCAGCTCCATTCCCCACCACATTCGTGCCTTTAGGCAAGTTACTTAACCTCAGTGAGCTTATTTCCTAATCTATGAAGTGAGCATGAAATTATTTATATTACAGAGCTATTAGGAGGGTTAATTGATAGTAATTAGATAATTAATTGAAGCATTTACTGCCCACATTCAGTAAATGATGATGGTGATTATTAGTAGTAGCAAAAATAACAATCATAAGCATAATCTCCAATAAGGAGTTTAGAGAGGCCCACTCTATCTTAAATAACATTCCCTTTTACTCTCTGTCCCCTCACTCTTCTTTATGTCTCTGCTTAGTACTTGTCACCATATAAGTATGTTTATATTTATTGTTTTCTACATCTACTATATTATAAGCCCCATAAAGGCCAAGAACTTTATCTCTTTTGCTCCCTGCTCAGTCCCCAGAACCTGTTAACTATGCCAACACGTCATCATCGTAGGCTCAGTAAATATTTGATGGATAAGTGGAGGGTCTAAAGAAAAGATGGACTGTCCTTGCCATAGCAGCTTATATGCCATTGGGAGTGTTCCCAACGTCCATAACTTAATCTGCTTGGGGCATTTGGATCTATTAACTGCCTGTTAGTGGTAATGTAGAAATGATGCAATCATGAGATGAATGATGGGGCTAGATGACTTTTAAGATTTCTTCCTGTCCTTAGGGTCTGTGATTCTGAATTATCAGCTGGCATAGCATAGGCTATTTGTAGTGGAAAATCAGAGAAAAGAGAATCTACTGCAGATACACTAGACAGGAAAGACTATGAAGAAGGTGTGACTGGGATGGCTTCTGAAAGATGACTAAGAACCAGATTTGCAAAGAGAATTTTTTTTGTACTTTTCATGTTTTCAATAAACAAACTGCTTATTTCATTCAGAGTGAACTTTGGGGCATAAAGGTTGAATCTTGTAGTGAATTATGTTTTTTCCTATCACAGGAAATGGAAGTTCCCCAACATATTTGTTACTTTTCCCTGGAAAGCAACAATAGGAATGAAATGCTGTGCTAACTTACTAATCCAAATTCTTGTAAAAGGCATTTGGGATCTGATTTGGGCATGAAATAAGAGGGCATTATTTTTGCAGTCTTTGTAGCTTCTCAGCTTAGAGCACTTGGATTTGTAGTAGACCAGTAAGGATACCATATGTTCTGGTAGGTAGAGCCCAGTGGCAGTTTAATTCTAGGTCTATGTATATATAATAAACTAAATGCCTCACTGAGCACCTTCTAAGGAAGGTGGTCAGTAGACAGCCCCCCAGATGGTGTATTGGGCAGGGAGTCCAGGCTGTGTGGAACATATTTGCTAACTTCCTGTATACTCTCAGCTACCAGAGACTTGGGGCCTCTGACAGACTGGCCACTTTCCACTTGGCTCTGTTGGTTAGTAGGATAGTCTAAGGAGCAGTGATTTTCGGGATTATTCTTGTGCCCTTTAAGTTGTTTCAGTAAAAGGTCTTGCTCATCTATTATGACTCTTGCATTCGTCTCCTAAGACTGTATCTCCTTTTCAGTAAGACTTATGGGTAATACACTGGAACCCTCTCAGCTGATATGTTTGGTTGGTCAGTTAGTTTTAAAAGGTGGTTGAAGCAAAAAATAAAAATGTAAAAAGAAAAAAAAGGTGATTGAAGCAACCTTTATGTAATCTTCTGTATGTCCCTTCCTTCATTTCAGTGCACAAAAGAAACTGCAGAGCTGTTATTCTGTGGAGCATTTGAGATCCTGCTCCCAGCATATGTTGTCAGTTTGGCACAAATAAACATAAAAATTCTCTTTAAAAATAAAAATAAAAGGTGGTTGAAGCAGGAAATCAGAAATATGAGAAATGTTTCAAGTATTACATTTTAACACAAGACGTATAAACATGCTTTTATTTCATATAGAGTAGTATATGAGTACACCAATTTGAGTTCCAGGTCAAATTACTTTCATAAACGACATCCAAATGCATTGTCTTTGGTTTCTGGTTTCATTTCCTTTAAGTTAGACTAGGACATGACTGTTTGAAAAGGGACTAGAACACATAATCCTTACCTCTTAGAACTAACTTGCCCATACCTATCAATAGTAGTTTTTTTAGGAGCTTACCTTTAATAAGTCTTTCCAAAGCATAACTCTTTCTGTCATTTTAATATGTCAGTTGATTTAATGGTTAAGTAAATTACGTGAACAATAACAAGAACAACTGGCATAAAATGGGTAGAAGCAAGCACATCTGATGCTAGGCAAGCACACAGGTGCATGACCAAGAGCAGAAGTGCTCTTACAGAGCTGGTGTCCGTCAGTGCTCAGTGTGTGGTAGGCCTTGCTTGCTCAGATGCCTTGCAGAGGGGATTCCTGCTAACTTGGTGAACCACTTAAGCAGGGGCCTACTTACAGAGCTTCTGCTGTATTTATAATAAAAATACTTTGTCATAATTTAATTGAGCTATATTGGGCAGCTAAAATATTAAAAGAACCAAAACAAATTTGTAGGTTTTTCACATTCTGTCTCAAGAGAACATATTGAGGCTTGCAAATCAGTGTTCACCTCTGCCCTTTTAGATCATATCTTACCCTTTCTCTTGACCTCTACCACCACTGAAAGGATTAGGTACTTTTAGATATAGGGGATCTTAATCTATCAGATTCTAGACCTAGAATAGAACGGATAGAGAAAGAAATAATGGCTTATGTTAGGGAGATGTCAAGTGTAGTAAAATTAATCTCGCTGAATATTTTTTTTTTATTTTTCTAGGCAATCGATAGCATTCATCAAGTGGGGGTTTATTGCCTCGCTCTGGTGCCTGCCAATACATTGCCAAAAACTCCACTAGGAGGGATCCATATATCTCAAACAAAACAGCTGTTTCTGGAAGGATCTCTACATCCGTGCAATATCCTCATGTGCCCACATACATGTGTGACCAATTTGCCAAAACCCCGGCAAAAGCAACCAGGTAATATGCTGGCTTTGAAGATGTAATATTAAGATTGTAAATTCAAGAAGCAGAGTTTTTCCAGCATGATTCTTTCTCTGGAATTAGACTTTATCAGCTGACTGAGAGCAGGGAGGTCTGAGACCCTGCAGAATAATAGGCTTCTCTGGGTTCACTGTTGGCTCCCTGTTCTGAGGGATTCTTCGCAGCGTTCCTCCCTTTCCCCTTCATGTAAGATAAGGAGTCAGGATGATCAGAGTCCCAGTTTCAGAAGTAGAAGTAGAATCAGAAAAGCTAGTATTTATTGAGTGCCTACTAAAAGCCAAATTTTTATGTTTTACAAATGTGATCCTAAAGCTTTGCCCCCAGCTGTGGAAAGTAAAGATCAGGAAAGTTAAGAATTGTGCCCAAAGTCATATAGCTAGTTAGTGGCAGAGGTGAGAGTCACACTAATTGTGACTCTAAAATCCACACTTTGAATCATTAAGTTACACTGCCTTTCTGTTGGGACCCTCTTACCTAGAGTCATCCTTCATTCATTTTTAGGGGTCTGATTTGGGCCAGTAACAGCTCTGAGGGGAAAGATGCTTAATTCAGAAGTTTTCTGAATTGTAAGCACAGATAAATAGCATGTTTGGCATTTGCCGTATTCCTATGATTTCACGATGCAGATAAAAGTATATGAATTGCCATATGGAAAATAAAAATAAAACAAATAGTCAATTTCACCCTTTTGCCTAATTTCTGAGCAGACCTAGGTTACAGTGCTGAGTTAGGAGGCTACAGGCAAGAGTAGTTGATTGATGGTCAGTCGTGTTATCTGTTCAATCCAATATGAAATCATTATATTTTATTGATGCTTTTTCATTTAATTGAGAAGTTAATGAGAGGTTCCTGGTTTTCTGTACGCCTTAAAACACTTAAGAGTCCAAATCTGGCCTTTACAGATCCTGCTGCCACTACCCACACACACTCACTCTCTCTTTTATATATATATATATCTTTATTGATTTCAGAGAGAGGAAAGGAGAGGGAGAGAGAGAGATAGAAACATCAGTGATGAGAGAGTCATTGCTCGGCTGCCTCCTGCACGCCCCTGACTGGGGATCAAGTCGAACCCCAATCGCTTGGATCCTAGGTGAACGCTCAACCACTGAGCCACACCCAGCTGAGCACACTCACTCTCACACACTGTGTACATCGGCACATCAGCTTCCAACTGTGCTAGGAAGAGAAGATAAAAGTGGGAAGATTAGGAAGAAAAGGGAAGCCTGGCATTTAACTATATTTCTGTAAGACAGCTTTTACTGAAAAGTAAACATGAATGTACAATAATAAAACATGTAAGCCTCTGACTCTCTAGGTATTTTTATCACGATATTAAGATGTTAATTTCTGCTCTGCAGTAGTTATTACATCAGTTGTCTGGTGGCTAAGATCATATCACAGTTGCTTATCTAGATGTTATTGTCAGTTCACCAACTAACCTTATCTTAGTAACAGTGTGTGTAGAGTTAAAGTATATATGATATTTATTAGTTTCTGCTAGTGGAAATAACAGTTTATGGAGGCTAATATTCTAAAGGGGCTGTTAAAATCAAGAAGTCTGTATATTACTAATTGAGAAATGTATAAAAAGAAGTATCTTCATATTACCTGCCTAAGTATTTGACAGATGTATAAAACATGCAGTTCTTCTCCATCTCAAATCCTGTTACACTGAAGTCCTATATTTGTCATATGAGTAAAATCCTATTTAAATTGCACCTTTAACAAAACTTTCATGTCATAGTAGATGCTTAAAAACATTGTTTTTGCTAGCCAGATTTCATCTAATTTTATTAAATGATAAAACCTATCTAAAGATTTGTTCCTAAGCCCACATAGGCATAACATTCACATGCCCGATAAAAAAAAAAGCATTAGGTTTAGGTTCTGTGTTTTTGCTGTGATTACCTGCTAAGATCTTAATGGGTCAGATCAAAGCAGTTTGAAAGTCATGGGATAAATGAGGTGGAGATGATGTGGGTATCACATGACAGGTTGGGCCTTAAGAAGACTACAGAAAGTTGTGGAGATGGGTAGGAATGAGATTTTTAAAAAAGGAAAGGAGAGGCAAAGGAACATGGAAAAGTGTTAAGGCAGTCCAGGGGGAAAAAATCTCATTGAGATACCATTGGAGCTGTTGTCTAAAGAATGAGAGTGTGTTAGGACTGATTTTGGCTGCAAGTTTCAGAAAAACGTAATAGCAATTTAAGCAAGAGACAAGTTAATCTCTTTTTCAGGTGAAAGAAAGGCAGAGCTGGACAGCCCAGGACTAGGATGGCAGCCCCTCAATCATTATGGTTCTAATTTCCCACCTTTCTGTTATGGCATAGTATCAGCCAACTATTATTACAGAAATGCTGCATACCAAATAACCCTAAGGCTCAGTGACTTAAAATAAGAAGCATTTATTTTTCGCTCCTGGGATGTGGATCTGTGGAGCTTAGCCGGATCAGCTGGGCTTGGCTTGGCTCCAGGCTGTAGGTTGGGTTAGAATTTGTTCTATGTATCTCCTTATCATGGGACCAGCAACTACCTGGGCCATATTTTTCTCAAGGCAGATGGCTAAAGCAAGAAGGCAAGCCAAATCACACAGGCATATTTAAAACTTCTGTTTGTCATGTCTTCTAACATTTTATTGTCCCAAACATGCCCAATGTCAGTGGAGCAGAGAGTTTACTCCTCCCACAGAAAGGACAGGGAGGAAAGGAAGGGTTGTAAGAAAATAATGCAGTCTTCCACAGGCTGCCTGACCTGTACCCATTGTTCCTGCGTTCCAGCCAGCAGGTGGGGAAAAGGCAAAGAAGGGCATACCCTCCCCCTTTAAACATATTTTCTAGAAATTGTATATATTATTTCCTCTTACATATTATTATCCCATTCTAAAGAATATGGTCTTTACTCCAGGCATTTGCCCAGCTACAAACTGGGGATTCTGTTTTGAAGAGAGAGGAGGAGAATAGACATTGGGGTTGATGACTAGGGTTTTTTGCCACGGGAAATGTACAGTTTCATGGGAAAATAAGGCATATTTACAGATACAGCAGTGTCAGCATTATCCTCCTACATGTTACTGCTTTCAGTTATTTTTTACTTTCTGTGACCCATGGACTTAAGAAATGATGCTCCTGAATTATTATTATTATTATTTTTAATATTTATTTATTGGTTTCAGAGAGAGAAAGGGAGGAGAGAGAGAGGGAAGCATCAGTGATGAGAGAGTCATTGATTGGCTGCCTCCTGCAGTACCCTCACTGGGGGATCCAGCCCGAAACCCAGGCATGTCCCTGACTGCGAATTGAACCGTTACCTCCTGGTCTATAGGCTGACACTCAACACTGAGCCGTGCCAGCTGAGCTGTTATTGTAAACTATTCTGAAAAATTCACTTTTTTAAATGTCACACTTTTATTATTTTACAGTGTGAATCCAGGATTGGGGAACTTAATCAAATACACAGAGTCTTGCCTATATAAAAGCCTCTTCAACACGATATATCCATAACTTATTACGGTTTCTTAGGAAGGGATTTTGCATATTATACTTAAAATTGCAGTATGGCACTTTTTTTTTTTTTTAAAGAGGAAAGGAGAGAGAGAGAGATAGAAACATCAATGATGAGAGAGTTGTCATTGATCGGTTGCCTCCTGCACGCCCCAGACTGGGGATCGAGCCCACAACCTGGGCATGTGCCCTGACTGGGAATTGAACCAAGATCTCCTGGATCCTAGGTTGATGCTCAACCACTGAGCCATGCCTGGCTGGGCACAATATGGCACTTTAAACTAAAAGTGTTCAGCAGTCAGAGTGTTGGAGTATTTTACCCTTTTTTAATTTTTTATTTGATTTTAAAAATTTTAAATGTTTTATTTGAAAATAATTTCACACAGAAAGTTGCCAAATTGTGCAAAGAATTCCCTTGTACCCTTTACCCAGCTTTCCCAACTATTTAAAAGTGATTCTATGATTTAAGTGATTTTTTTTCAGATGCTTCAGTATATTCAGGCACAACAGATTTTAGCAATAAAAGATACTTAGTATTAATCTAAGCATAGTATCACCATTGTTCAAAACTCAGCTGACAATAAGTTTTGTTATCTTTTAGCCATCTTAGTTTGATTCGTTAGTCTTAATCTGTAAGTGACCACTAAGGAAAGCATACAGAACACTAGCACTTTTTTTCTTGAAAGAGGAAGAGTTCTCCCTTTTTATTTTGAAGTGTCAAACCTATGGAAAAATTGAAAAAATAGTATAGTGAACACTCATGTACCTTCTTCTAGGTTCACTAATTGTTACCATTTTTCCCCCTGAACTCTTTGAAAGTAGATTGCAGGCATCATAGCACTTTACCCCTAAGCATTTCAGCAATGTATCTCCAAAGAACAAATCATTCTCCTAAAATTTTCCTGATCAACCATAATGCCATTATCCTATTAAGAAATTTAACCTTGCCCGGCCGGGCATGGCTCAGCAGTTGAGCGTCGACCTAGGATCCAGGCGATCAGAGTTCGATTCCCAGTCAGGGCACATGCCCGGGTTGCGGGCTCGATCAGTGACTCTCTCATCATTGATGTTTCTGTCTCTCTCTCTCCCTCTCCTTTCCTCTCTCTAAAATCAATAAAGATATATTTACAAAAAAAAGAAATTTAACCTTAATATAATGCTTTCATCTAATAGTTCACAGTCCATATTCGCATTTCTCCACGTGTTTGTTATAGCTGAATTTTTAAAAATCCATTATCCAGTCAGGGTTATAAATTGCATTTGGCTGATATGTCCTTTAATTTAGAACCTCCTCCCGGCTTTATTTTGTCTTCAAGACATGGGTGTTTTTTAAGAGTTCAGGCCAGCTGCCTTATAGATTATCTTACGATCTGGATGTCAATATTCACTTTTAATAAAGCACTTCTGATATTCCTAATGCATTCACTCTCAGTCCTTATAGACAGCAGATTTCTTTCCAGACCAGATATTCATTACTGTTAAACCCACTCTTAGGGCTGTGTTATGATTGGAGCAGATGCAACCAACTGTCACCTCCTGAGAGTGAAAACTTCCCTATACCTAAGCTATAGGAAGCTACCTGCTCTCCTTCACCACCACCCCCAATTCCCATCTCTCCTGTGGTCCTGTTTTGTTTTTGTATTTATTTGTGTATGTGCTTATTTGGTTGCTTTTCCCCACTAGAATTCAAGCTCTTTGTCTTGTTTGTTCCTGTGTTCCCAGTGCCTAGAAAATTGCTCAGTCCATTTGAACCAGTTTTGGTCCGTCTGAAAATGCTCTGGGGTATACAGCTTGAATTCCCATCTCCAGAGTTGAATTTTGCCTTTACTTACAGGTGTAGGCCCTGCTTCTGTGATGGTTGGCAATCTGGTTGCTGGAAAACGCATAGCACAAGCTGCAGGAAGGGATCTCGGGCAAATTGAAGAGAATGATTTAGTGAGGAAGGTAAGTTTTCAGAAGTGTAGTTTTTATGAACAAGTCAAGGACAAAACTTAAACTTCAGGTAGCAGGTGGAAGATGTGTTATCCAACTTTTAAAAAGTTGCCGACCCTTATTCTTTTCTCTGTTTTGTGGCTTTAGCACCAGTTTCTGGCGGAGATATTACAGTGGCGAGCCCAGGCAACTCCTGACCATGTACTCTTCATGCTCTTAAATGCAAAGGTATGAAAACATTTGTATATCAACTCAGCTGAATGTTGTGGGAGTATCTTAGGCACTCTTGATCTCTTTCTCTCATCAGAAAATTTCTGTTGCCAACTCTGAGGAAGGAGTTACTGTTTTCCCCTTTTTTTGACCTGTGAAGATAAATTGTGCAATCATTCAAGGTTGAAATGGGACCTCCTGCTGTCTCTTCTTGTGTTACAATCGAGTCATCTTTGTTCAGCTCTGTTAGGGATGATGGGGCCAACAATGTAATTACATAGGTCTACAGATGTGTGGAATATATTATGTCACGTAATTTTTTTTACCCAGTATGACTTTTAATTCTTTGATTTCTCCCTGGAAGAAAGTGACTTTAGAGCAACATTTTTAAAACCAGAGTTATTTTTGGTACATACTTAAGTTGTTTATTGCTAACAGATAAAAAGCAAATTGAAAATTATTCAAGCATGCATTTAACTACTGCTTTCTAATGATGGTCCACCAGAATACTGTATTTTTTAAGTTAAACATCCTGTGGGAGTCTGCTGAGATGTTTGTTTTAATGGCTGAGTCAGAGGCTAAAAGTACTGTAATCATGGCACATAGCAGTATTTCTCAGCAGCAGGGGGAAGACTGCAGGGCCTATTGGAATCTCTTAGGGGACTTCCCCAAATTGCCGCCTTCTGCCCTGGCCCCCTTGAGTTCTGATATATTTTAAACACATGCGCGCGTGCACATACACACCCCTTTGAGAATTTCTGCAGTGATAGAACTTAATGAGAGGAATATGCTGTGCATCTTACTGAAAAGTCATTAAAAACTTTAAGAGCCACTGCTGTGTAGTAGAAAACTTTTGGACTTCCTTGCTCCACCTCTCCATGTAGTGGGCTTCTCTTCAAACCCATGGTTCAGTAGAGTCCTTCCATTTCAGTAAGATGTTAATCCAGCATACTTCTTGTTCCACTTCCACGCTTGGCTGTAGTTAAAGTTATGGCCCTGTGAAATTCATAGCCCAGGTATTTATTAGTGAGCATAGTTTAAATTTGCTTCTTGCTTGGAGAAGTAATATATATGGGTGACTAAAGAACATGTAGTCCGTTTGTTCTTCTCTGTACTCTCACATTTTACCTTAGTTTCAGCCAGACTACCAGAAAGCTTAGTAACCATATAGCATTGTTCCCTCATGCCCAGAAAATGGTTTTTTTACTGACGTTTAGTTTGCTGCTATACCATGGACCAAAACGAAGAATGTAAGAAATGGCCTTACGAATTGAACCCAACTTTTGCCAAAGGGACATTTATTTTAGTGTTAAAATCCTAATGTTCCATCAGATAGACAATTGACTAAATAAATTACGGTATATAAACATGATGAAATACTACTTAGCAATTCAAAGCAGTATTATAGAAGAAAATATGATGACCAAGAAAATAGTACTCATAATGTATTAAGTAGAAAAAATAGGATTAAACTTTAATAATAATTGAATACTTATTGAAGACCCTGTTCTGGGTGCTTTATATTTCATAGTTCACTTCAAGGTTGAGGAAACTGGGGCACAGAGACGTAAAATAACTTGCCCAAGTAGTAGGGCAGGAAGTTAGCTCTTTCAGTTGATCCCAAGCTGGCTTCAGAGCCCACTTTCTTAACTACGGCACTACACCGCCTCTAGGAGATAGGATGATGATATAACTTCTTAAAATTTTTATTTTTTATTTATTTATTTTAATTCTTACTCGAGGATATGTTTTTGTGGTTGTTGTTTTGTTTTTATTTTTTAACTTTTTTATTGATTTGAGAGAGAGACATCGATTTGTTGTTCCACGTACTTATGCATTCATTAGTTGCTTCTTGTATGTGCCCTGACTGGGGATCGGACCTGCAACCTTGGTGTATAGGGATGACTCTAACAAACTGAGCTTCCCAGCCAGAGCTGAGGATATGTTTTTATTGGCTTTAGAGAGAGAGGAAGGGAGGGGGAGAGAGAGACTGGGGGAAAGAGAAAGAGAGAAACATTGATGTGATAGAGCAACATCAATTGGTTGCCACTGACACACACCCCGGGTATGTGCCACAACCCAGGTATGTGCCCTGACTGAAATCTAACCTGTGACCCTTCAGTGCATGGGACAACGCTCCAACCAACTGAGCCACACCAGGCAGGGCAGATATGATGCCTTTTTTAAAAAATGTTGCTTGTGAATTTATATATTATATATAGTCCTTTTTTTTTTTAAAGGAAAATATATACTGATTACATCTTATGTTTATCTATATTTTCCAGATTTTCTATATATAACCTGTCCTATTTTTATATTACTGAAATAAAAATGTTATTTTTAAAAGAAACTGTTCAGTAAAACTTGTTTTCATCATGAGATTTTTTGAGATACACAGTTATAGTAATTAGGACCGTGTGGTATTGGCAGGACAAAGAGCAATTTGGCATTATCCACTAAAGCTGAAGACAGGCATACTCAATGACCCAGCATTTCCATTTCTAGGCCTATACCTGACCAAATATTTATGTACCGGGATATTGTATAAGAATGAGTGTTTGTCAGCAATAGAATGGATGAATAAATTGTTGTGTGTTCATACAGTTAAATATACAGCAACAAAAATGAATGAATTATACCTAGGCACTGCAGCATAGATGACTCTTAAGATAATGTTGAGAGAAAGAAGCAAAGCACAGAAGTATATGCAGTACAATTCCACTTATATGAAATTCAAGATTTCATGAGGGTAAAAATATAAAGAAAAAGAAGTAAGCAATTACCATTAAAAAGACAAGAGCGTGGTTACCTATGGAGAGGAGAGAAGGCTGACCCGGGCGGGCTCATGGGGGTACTTTTGAGTTGCTGATAGTGGCCTCTTTCATGTCGTGCTGGTTTTTATACAGGTGCTCACTTTACAATTTTTTATTAAGCTATACATTTATATTTTGTGCACTTTCCCATTTGTGGGACATTTTTACAAGGGAAAGGAGGTTTAAAAAGCCCAGCTTAGTGAAACTTGAATTGATAATAAGGATATTTATGAAGACCCACAGGAGAAATTATTCTCAGGGTCAGGAATAGTTGGCCATCTTCTAATCTGCTAATCTTTATTAATAGCCAGTGATTCTGATTAATTATTAATGTTTTGTTTACATCTTTGCTGTTAGAAACTCAGAGCCAAATATGTGCTTAATTAATCCCCAGCACAAGCACATGACCTCATGGCCAGCATTTATTGTCCTGACCTCACTGTTGCCCTCATCCTACTTTCAGTTCCTTTGTTTTCCCTTTACTCTTGTTTTCTCACTTAAATAAAAAATCCTTGTGTGTTTTTAAAGCTGTTTTAAACAAGAAAGACAACAAGTACTTACATTTGACTTAAGTTAATGTTGATATTCCCTAAGTACCTTTAGACATTGAAAAAGAAAAGATATACCACACATGTCTGTTAGCACTGGAGGAATTTTCACTGGAGTTGATAACTAGCTAAAAGTAATCTACCAGGGCACAAGCCTTTTAGGTAGAATGTCAAATTGGCTATACTTGTTACTGTTTTATTTTCGTAATGAGCTATACTTCCTCCTGTTTAAAGGGCACCACTGTGTGCACAGCCAGCTGCCTTCAGCTTCATAAGCGAGCAGAGAGGATTGCGTCAGTGCTTGGTGATAAGGGACATCTAAATGCAGGCGACAATGTGGTGTTGCTCTATCCACCTGGTAAGTGTTGAATTGGTAGACTGGACTTAAGATCTGTTACTAGACTACAGACTATACGAGGATAGGAACTCAGGGCCACCATATATGACCATGTAGGCTGTGCACCTCCCAACTCAGGAAGTACCTTGCACATAGGCTAAAGTGCGAACTAAGCCTCACCCCTGAGGTTATGCAGCAGAATGGCTCTTTGGGGACTGGGTCTGTTGTATTTACTTTTATATTTTCGTTATCTAGCATAGTTCCTAGCACTATGGTAAATATTGAATGAATGAATGAATGAATGAAGACTTCCTGACTTTTGAGATGCTTTGTTTCTAGGAGTCTTCGGGAATGGGACCATTTTACCCAGTTTCCAAAAGAAAGTTGTCCAGGAACTCTTTTGACTTTAAAGTCTTCATATCATGATTGATATGTAGTATTCCTCTACTATTGCTGTTTTCATCTTCCATGCTCTAATTTAATTCAACAACCTTTTCTTCCCAGTAAGAGGGACTCAGAATTATTTGATGACAGTTTGATGTAAATATTCAAAATTTTAGGTGAAATACTTGAGTTGTCCCTTTCTTTATTCTTCTGTCACCTGGCCCACTCATATATTCAGCCTTCTTTTGTCTTTTGTATCCCTTATTTCATTTTGCTCTGTGATTACTATGCTATTTTATTTACATTGATACTAAGATTTCTTAGAAGGTCATCTGTAAAAGAATCCCTTCTATGGTGTGCCTGTGGATACTGTCTTTTATCTACCAGTTTATTATGACATGGTGATGGGGCAGAACACTTCCTGAGGAGGCCACCTGTCATGTCCCGATGTTGCAGAGTCTTCTTCAGACTGAGTCACACTTTGCCTCCCTAAAACTTATACCCACTGATGGAGCCACACGTTAGAAGTCTAGTTGCTCTTCACATAGTGGCCTTCTACATATTTAGAGAAAACTCAGGTGCTTGTCATCTCCCCTATGCCCATTCTTTTATTTATCAAGTTCAGTGTCTCTAATTTCTGCAGTTAATTCTAAGTGACATCAAGTAATGATACCAAAATACCTTCTTCAGATATCTTTCAAGAGTTGTTGTTTTTTAATCTTCACCTGAGGATATTTTTTCCATTGCTTTTCAGAGAGAGAGAGAAATGTGAGAGAGACACATCAATTGGTTGCCTCCCGCACGTACCCATATCAGGGCCGGGGATTGAGTCTGCAACAGAGGTGCATGCCCTTGGCTGGAATCGAACCCAGGACCCTTCAGTCCAAGGGCCTACACTAACCACTGAGCAAAACTGGCTAGGGCAAGAGTTTTCTTCTGACTTCCTTTCTTCTTATTGAATCTTGGCTTTTCTCTCTGTTTTTTATCAGTTGTTTCATATGCTTCCTCCTTTCCCTTCTATTCCTTCTTAATTTTCAACTTTTCTTCTGCTAGTATATCTGTTAAGTTATGTTCTAAATAACCCATTTGGCACATGATTTAATAAACTGGTTGGGGAAGATGTGCCTTTTAGTTTTGCAGTGATGCTAGGCAGCTAATCGACTGTCTTGCAGGCATCGAGTTAATCGCTGCATTCTATGGCTGCCTGTATGCGGGGTGTGTCCCTGTGACCGTCCGGCCTCCTCATGTTCAGAACCTTACTGCCACATTGCCCACAGTCCGCATGATTGTTGATGTAAGTACAAAGTATACCTTGTCCTCATCTCATAAAATCCAGATTCAGACAACTAAGGATCTTTACTAATTCTCCAGTTGTGTTGAGTCAGAAAGTCAAATCTGTCTCCTGTAAACAGCCTGTTTTTCCTTAATCTGACCAGTGACCAGCATTATTCAGTGAAGGAGTATGAGAAAGTGATTATTGGTGAGATACAGAATTGTGTGCACTTATCATGAACATTAAAGGCAAAGCTATCATAGTAATTCTCCATAAAACTTGTTTTTCCCCTCTTTTTATTTTTCATTTTGATTGATTTGAAAGAAACATTGATTTGTTATTCCGCTTATTTATGCATTCATTGGTTGACCCCCCCTTTTTTAAATAAGTTCTCATATTTCTTTCTGTACAATAACCAAGGTAATTCTATATGCCAAACTGAATTCTCCCCAGTGTCAGGTTAGTTTAATTTTGGTTAATTTTATAAACTGAGTATATATACTATTTAGTATAGTATTAAAAAGTGTCCAGATATTGCTCTGGAAGTGACAGAAGTTTGTACAGAATATGAGAATTGAGGAAAATAAGATAAGTCTTTATTGCATCATATCCTAATGTACTTTAAAGCAAAGAGTTACAAAATTCCAATTTATGTAACGGTTGTTTCTTTAAGAACTGCTGCTCTGTCAGCAACTGGAGCCTGCAGCATAAAAACTGTGTTCACCGTAGATGATTTTATTACAAAGTTCGATTCAGCAAAATGCCCTTGTCATATTCTGCAAAGTAGGCCAGAGTAGCAGGGAGGGAAGTTTCCTCCCATTGACGCAGTTTATGGGGAGGTCATTCATTTTGCTTCCACGTGGGGGTGAGCAGCAAAGCTTAGCTTCTATGAAAGCACAGAGTCCCTCAAATTCAGGGTATGTTCTAGGTCTAGGTAGTTCTACCAACCATTCATTAAACTATTGCAAACACTAACTCCTTCCCTGAGCATTACAAAAATCCATGTTAATATTTTATTTTGGTCTTCATGAAACCAAAAGCTTGTGGGATCCATACTGAGATTATAACTATGGAATATTTGAGAATCACTGTTGTAAACAAAACTTGTGTCATGAACAAGTCCATCATAAGGCAGTTAAGTATTACACATGACCAGGACAAGTGTAAGGGGAAGCACTGACCTCCATTGTCCTGTGTGTGTTTTTTGAAAAACTGATACTCCCCTGTCCAGTGTGGTGTGTGAGTTGCTTTTAGCAGCAGCTACAGCCTCTGGTGCTACATGGGGGCTAAGCCTCCTGGTGCTTATATCTGTTCATTTGTTTTCTAGGTCAGCAAAGCTGCCTGCATTCTCACCACGCAGACACTAATGAGGTTACTGAAGTCCCGAGAGGCGGCCGCAGCTGTGGATGTGAAAACCTGGCCAACCATCATTGACACAGGTGAAGGGGAGATTTTTCCAGAGTTGAAGGAACAAGAGCATTTACTCCCTGAAAGTTCCTAGAATCTTATGCCAAAGATGTTTATGTAGGTCTTACATCACAACACATTCCCTCTGCTAAGACAGATGCAAAACTTAACATCCAGTCAATTTGCATTACCAAAAGGCTGAATACTGCAACATTCAGATCCAAAGAAGCAGATCACTCGAAACAAAAAGTGTCTTGCTTTTACTCTTGGTGTCATCAAATGGCAGTTTTTATGCTGGATAGACCATGTACATGTAGGGCCATGTAAAACACTGAGATCTGACATAGTCTAGATCTACGTGTGATATAATGGAAACAGCACTGGACTAGGAGTCAGAAGACCTGGTTCTAGTTCAAGCTTCAGCACTTACTCTCTGTAGAACCTTGTCTGAGATTACCCTTTTCTAAAATACTACCTACTCTTGCCTGACGCCCATACTTATCGAGAATATCAAATGCAATATGATATGAAAGTTCTTTGAAAACCATAAAGTTTGCATGAATTTTAGATGGCATTTCTACTAAAGAAGGGAATAAGACACAGGGCCACCTGGAGAATGGTGAGATAGGGGAGAAGGTGAGTTATGGGGTCAAGTAGATGGGGTTTAAATCCTAATACTCTGTTCCTCTCTGAGTATCCCCACTAACTTGGGCAAAACTTTTTATAAAATGGGGGTTTTAATAACTGCCTCGTGGTGTTATAAAATGACATAATGTAAAGCACCTCACACATAATCATAACATCTTTAATTGCGCCCTTACTCTGTGCCAGACATCTAACGTGTATTACCTAATTATCCTTGCACCAACCCTATTGGATCAGTGCAGTTCTTACAAAGAAGAAAACAGAGGCACAGGGAGGTTAAGTGGTAGCATGGACATTCAAACCCAGTCCGTTTGGCTCTCTTCCCAGCCTCTTAACCATTAATTTCCTCCTTAACCTGTTTTCAGTAAGTACCACAGAGTGTCCACCTCAAGAACATTTATATGAGTTTAAATGCAGGGATGACGTGTTTGTGGTTGTTGTGTGCCAGATGCTGAACTAGATTTTTTTTGCATGTGTTACTTAAGGACATAAGCACATAATAAATACACAAATAGATTGCGTTGGTGTTAATGATGCAGATAGATCTACTATGGTTATTGGATTCATTCACATTTCAGAAAGGCCTAAAATACAGTCTGTGATACAGACACCAGGAGGTTTCTTTAGGCACATGAATGACCCTCCCCTACACAAAGGTGGGTTGAAGGTAATAGAAAAAGTCTTTGATTTGACCAGAAATGGGCACCCAATAATATAGAGATTTAAAAGTCAGAGTCAGAATTGTTTCTTGATCCAGAACCATTGAGGAGGCGTGGTTGGGCCAGACGCTTCCTTGATAACCTTGGTTTTGACATACATATAAAGCAAATTTAGGGGGAAAGGGACGAGTATATAAGTAAATGAGCAAAGGAAAATAATCCCTAATTCTAGGTTAACATTCTTAAAAACCTGCCCTGTTAACTTGGAGAAAAACAGCCTTTAAGCAGTCATGATTAATATAACATGCACTAAAAAGTAAAGAACAAACTTTAACTTGAAACCAGCATGATAACAATAAGCTTTCTGAGCATTTAGTCAGTTGTTTTCAAATTGCTTTGTGTGAATTAACTTCCCAACAATTCTGTGAGGGTAGATAGTATTACCATTTTAGAGCTTAGGTAACAGACACAAAGAGGCTAAATAACTTTAAGGTCACATCACTGAAAAATGGCAGAGCTGGGATTTGAACACCCGCAGTCTGCTTCCTTAGTTTTCAACTACTATGTTATATGCCCGGCTGGGCGTGGCTCAGCAGTTGAGCATCGACCTGGGATCCAGGCGATCGGGGTTCAATTCTTGGTCAGGGCACATGCCCAGGTTGCGGGCTCGATCAAATGACTCTCTCATCATTGATGTTTCTATCTCTCTCTCTCCCTCTCGTTTCCTCTCTCTGAAATCCATAAAGATATATAAAAAAAGAAAAGAAATTATCAACTACTATGTTATAATTCCCCTCACTAAACCTTCTAGTAAATACATTTGCCTGATACAGTTTTGCTTATTTATATTGCCTAGCAGTGTCCTTAACTCCAGCCTACGGCTAAGAGTGACTCACATAAGCTGCTTGGTTAAATACGAGAAGCCTAAGCTTTAGCAAATCCTGAAGCTAAATTTGGCCATAGCAAGGCCACAGAAAACCAATTCAAGAGCAATGATTTCATGTTCCAACATATGTGATTGACATCAGATTTTTTCTTTTCCTTGCAGATGATTTACCCAGGAAGAGGTTGCCTCAGCTGTATAAACCACCCACTCCTGAGATGTTGGCCTATCTTGATTTTAGCGTCTCTACAACGGGCATGCTTACAGGAGTGAAGGTAGAGTAGTCTGGATATATTCACTCACTCACTGGATGCTGGTAAAATGCCAGGCCTGCAAAAATAGAGATGACCACTACCCCAGGGACTTCGATGTAGAGGCCAGCTGGTTGTACCAGAGACCAGGAGGCGGGGGATCAAGGGTCCCAGCTATATTTAAATAAAAGCATCGGCTCTTCCGGAATAAGTTATCCCAAGGAATTTGTGCTATGCCATGACTCGACCTAGCATAGAAGCTAATAGATAATGAGAGTTACAGTTAAAGATGGATGAAATCACAGGTTCATATTTCATAAAACCTCAGTATTGACTAACGAACAGAAATTTGTTACCTTAAGTTAGACTTAGATTAAGCTTTTAGAACCAGTGAAAAATACACATCATTTTAAGGAGTTTGGGGGACTCGAAGTGCCTCAAAACTATTGTTGGAGCTGTTTTTCTACCTGTGGGATGCCTGTTCCATCCTGTTCCATGTTCCTTACTTTCCAGATGTCCCACTCTGCAGTCAATGCTCTCTGTAGAGCCATCAAGCTCCAGTGTGAGTTGTATTCTTCTCGGCAGATCGCCATCTGCCTCGACCCTTACTGTGGACTTGGCTTTGCACTCTGGTGTCTCTGCAGGTAGGAATGGAAAAGCAAAGAAACAATTTGCAGGCATGTCTGTGGGGGCTGTAATCATCTCATCCTTCCCTTTGCTCCCTTAATTTGGTAAAGTTTCAATGAAATGTTGATTTTTCCAGAATTTCTGCACCTAATGTATCTCTGATGTTGGTTTAGTTTTTGTGTTCCCTTTCTTTCTTTTCTGTAGTTTTATGCTTCATATAAAAGATCAGTGATCTTATTACCTGCTCTCTGCTCCATCCTGTAATCCTCATTTTAGAAGTAGAGCCAAGTAGAAGGATGATACTTGGGTGAAATATGTCATGCTTTGTCAGCCAGAACGCACCCCCTAGTACTGGCAGGAAGGAATATAATGAGGTGGGACAATAGCATGTGGCTGTAACATAGCACGTCCGTACTGGCCAGATTGTTTCTTATGGAATAGTATATTGCCACTCCTTCCACTCTCCACCCAGGGACCCTTAGCTCACGCCTACATGTTCACCTTCTAGACAGACATTTCCATGAGTCCTTCACACACGCTCTTCCCCTTCTGTGTCTCCATCTCAGGATGGGATCATTCACCTCAGGACCCAAATTATCTTCAACTTCTGTCTTTATGTCTCACATCCAGTTAAATGTTATGTCTTTTGGCTCAGTTGTTCCTAAACCTATCTATACATAGGAGTCACCTAGGGGTCTAAAAAAAATCATTAATGGGCCTTCTCCAGACTTACTTAGATCTCCAAAGGTGGAGACCACAATTCCAATATTTTTTAAATACAGGATTCTTGGGCTCCTGGTGATTCTGAAGTTGAGGATTCGTGACTGCAGATTATACATATGATATGTGACTCTGCCATTCCTTCCCCTTTATCCCGTTGCACTGTTGGGGGTCAAGCCCTCGTCATCTGTCACCTGGACTATTGCAGTCTCTGCTAACTGTCTCTCAGCCTTCAGTGTCTCATGTCTCCAACCCCTCCTCCGTGTTGCTAGTTTTGCCCCATCATAAAGCTGCAGTGACTGCCTGCTGGGTAAAGTCTTAAGTCCTTCATATGATAGTTAAGCCCTTTCACAGCTTGATCCCAGCTCTTCTGGCTTCACTTCTCACCACTCCCCCATGCATCCTGTGCTCTTGTATTTCACACTGGGATACTATTTCTGTCAACCTTAAACACACCATGTAATTTTATACCTCTTTGCATTTGCATATGCTGTTCCTCTACCTGGAATACTCCATCACCATCCTCACTTCCTCTAGCCACTGTCACGTTCCTGCTTGTTTTCCAAGCCCCAGCGCAGTTGTCACCTACACCTTGAAACACCCCAGCCCTAGCTTTCCCAGTTTGAATGACTTGTTCTTTAATCTATGATCCTGATGTCCTTTATTCACATCTCAGGTACTATATGTACCACAGTCTGCTTCATTTTATAGTTACTGTGTCTTGTGAGTTGCATATGAACGAGGCTGATTCTTAGACCTTGATGTCTAATATGGCCCTATGCTGTCCTTCGTGCTCAGTAAGCATTTGTTGAATTGATGCTGTTCTAAAACATCAGGATATCTAGGATGATTTGATGATGTCAGTTCTTGCCTTTCTTTATGTAGTGTCTATTCAGGTCACCAGTCCATCTTAATTCCTCCTATGGAGTTAGAAAACAACCTTTTCCTCTGGCTTTCCACCGTCAACCAGTACAAAATAAGGGATACGTTCTGCTCCTATTCAGTGATGGAGCTGTGCACCAAAGGGCTTGGGAACCAAGTGGAGGTGCTAAAGGTAAGAAACAGTTGCAATAAGTAGCCAGTCCTGAGAGGTTTTAAAGAAATGGGCCAGGTATGATACTGAGTAGGGGTTGACAGACATATCTGCTTGGTTTTTTTCTAGGCAGGCAATCAGGTGTTTTGTAAACCTCAGGAAGTTTATCTCTTCTACTTTCTAATTTAATTCACTCTTTCAAAGTTTAATGTGAGTCTTAATTTGTGGAGAAGGTGAAACTGGTTGGGAAGCTGAATGGAAGTGACAATGTAAAGATGAAAGGGAGCTGTTACCTGCAGTAGGATTTTTCCCACTAGAATTTGTAACCTCAGAATATTAGAGATTGGGGACTACCCCAGAGACAGAAGGGTAGCTCATTCATGTGTGTATCCAGCGATCATGTGTTTGACTAGCATATGGGAGAGTCAGAAAACACCGGATTCTATTTAATAGAGAAATGTGACCTTAAGAAGGAAAAAAGAGACAAGAGATTTGATCTCCAGGGCACTAGGTTTCTGTCCTCGTAGTCCTATCTCTCCAATTTGAAGTAGGGAGAAATATAAGGTATAGAAATGGGGTTGGATAAAAATGGATTGCTGGGGATCCTAAGATTTTTAGATGAAAGCAAAAAGAAATAAGAGAATGAGCACATTTAGCAGCAGGTAATGACTTTAGCGGAATGCCTTGGCATTTTCTGAGAACTTTTGTCTTTTCTCTGGGTGTCTGAGATGAGAATACACAGTTCCTTGGCTTTTCCTAACCAAAGAGATAGAGCAATGGCCTTAACTATTCAGTTCTTTTGTGATCCCGCTAACTTCAGCTCACATGCATGGTGTCTTATAGACCAGAGGAATCAACCTCTCCTGCATCCGGACGTGTGTGGTAGTGGCCGAGGAGCGGCCCCGTATTGCCCTCCAACAGTCCTTCTCCAAGCTCTTTAAAGACATCGGCTTGTCCCCTCGGGCTGTCAGCACCACTTTTGGATCAAGAGTCAATGTAGCAATATGTTTACAGGTGACTATTATGAAATTTTGCTTGGGAACAAATGGAAGGGGAATGTGTGGTGCTCTGGAGCAGAGAACTCGAAAACAGACTGCCTGGCGTGAGCCCCAGTTCCACTTACTTGCTATGGGACCATGGGATTTTTATTTGGACTTTGCCATGCCTCATTTTGCTCATCTGTAAGATGAAGAGAATAATATTGTCTTCATAGAGTTGTTCTATAGAACCAGGGAGCTAATAAGTGCTGCATGCTTGGAGCTTTTTCTGGCATTTGAGCACCCATGTAAATACTTACTCTTAGTAGTAGTTTTATGGTCCACAACAATGACCGAACATTTCTGAGTCCTGTCTGAATTTTATTTCTTCTGTTTTTCTGTCTCCTCCATATTTTAAAACTTTTTTTGCAAAGGAAGTACAAATTAGCCTGTATTTTTTTCTCCAGACAGATGGCAACTTTGACATGTTATTCCTGGTGGGTAAATAACAGAAAAGAACTGAGTCTGATTTTACATAGCTTGGAGACGAATGAGGAAAATATGGGCATGGACAAGAGTGAGAGTATGAGAAGGTGTACATGGGTGGATACTTGCAGGTCTTCTGTGACCATGGTCAAAGACTTTTAAGTAGCATCATGATGCTTTAACTGTGGAGTCCAATTGTGGGCCCCTTGTTGTCAGCTTGGGCCAGTGTTGATTTTTAAAACTCATGGATGCTGACCTTTCTCGTCCATGCTTTGAGTCCAGGGATGAGGACTGTCCTCAGCCTGGTAACCTTTTAGTGCTTCTCTAGCCTCTGTAAGAAGGGCCCTGGCCCACTCTCCTGAGGGAGGAAAAGAGAGAAACATGAGGATAAGGCCAGGCCATGAGTCTCTTATAGGTATTGACTGTATGTACCCTGGCTCATCTGGTTGAAGAGAGGATGAGCTTTCAAAATAGTTTGCATTTTTTATGTATATGGCTAACTTATCTATTTCTTTATTTAAAAATATGAAATATGGAAATATAGACATTTAAATTTTAAATAAACAATGCATTGATTTATTTTTCTTTAGGGAACCTCAGGGCCTGATCCAACTACTGTCTATGTAGATCTGAAATCATTAAGGCATGACAGGTACAGTAGATTTATCTTGCTCATTCCCTAGTAGAGTTCCGAAACATGAAAAGCTCTGAGCTTCCAAAAAACCAGCCCTCTTCCTCACCCTGTTGTTTATATCTTCCAGGAGTGATGGAAAGAGGAAGAGAATTTGTTTTCATTATTAATACCTGATAATATTTACATTTATAAGAAGAAAGCTTTAATTCTCACAGTTGTTGCACTGTTCTTTAATATTAAGATGTAATACTTAGTTCCTGCCTGTGTAAAAGTATTTTGATATAAATTAAACCAAAATGGATGGACACTTTCCTCAGAAAGTTTAAAAATAAAAGATGGGACAAAAAATAATAACAATAAAAAATGAGACAGACAAGATAAATGAGGCAGAGTAGGGCTATTGAAACAACACTGTATCTGAATTCCAGGAGTAAAAGCCTTCCTCCTTATCAGCTTACAAGGGAATTTTAGCAGTGTCCCAAGGTGAGCACCTGGCCCAAAGGCTCTGTGACTCTTTCCCAGGTCCCACTGACGTCAGCTGTGTTCAGTGGTGTGCCCCAGCATTGACCCGGCCTGCACAGGTAGCGATCTCCCAAGTGCAGTGGTTCTCAGCCTGGGGAGATTTTGCCCTCAGAGGACATTTGACAATGTCTGGAAACGTTTTTTGGTTATCACAAGAAGCAGGTTGCTACTGACATCTAGTGGGCCTGGGATGTTGCTAAACATCCTGCAATGCACAGGATAGCCCTTCACAAAAAAATTATAACAAAACATTATCGGACCCAAAATGTCAGTAATGCTAAGTTTGAGAACCTGCTCTAGCATAAGAAAGGGAGACAAATTAGATGTCTTGGGAAGGCACTGTGTAGCTGTAGTACACATGGCGCAATCATCTTTTAAAAGGCTTATATATAGTAAATGTTGTTCTTCTGCAGGGTTCGTCTTGTGGAACGGGGTGCCCCCCAGAGTTTGCTCCTTTCAGAGTCTGGAAAGGTAATTTGTTTTGTTAATCATTGGAAAGGTGGTCTGTGTGGAGAAGTGGTTTATTTTAAAGAAACCTGAAAGCATATCATATATTAGTCCCCAGGGCAAGACTTAATTGAAATCTGGAGATAATTCAGCAATTTCAACTGAGCCAGTACTTTCACATAAGAAGAATACTCGATTTGAACTTTCTTAATTTTCATACATTTTTAAAAATCTTACTAACATGTTATTCTTATTTGCCAAACCAGCAATATTTAATGTTCATTATAATCAAGGTGGAGAGATGAACAACACTTAAAAAGGAGCCAATTCTATCTTTATAAATGTTACAAGGAGAGAAATAGGACAGCAGGTAGGGGAAGGGTGTGGTTTAAGATCAAAGAAGACATACACATGTTCATAGTTCAAAAGGAAATCCAAATAGGGAAGAGATTAAAAATATTCCAGTGATTATCTATGGGGATAAGATTTCTTAGATTAGAATGAGGCTTTAAAATGTTCAAGGATCCTGGCCAGGCATGGCTCAGCGGTTGGGCATCGATCTGGGATCCAGGAGATCGCGGTTCGATTCCTGGTCAGGGCACATGCCTGGGTTGTGTGCTTGGTCCTCAGCAGGGGGCGTGCAGGAGGCAGCTGATCAATGACTCTCTCATTACTGATGTTTCTATCTCTCTCTCTCCTTCTCCCTTCCTCTCCCTGAAATCAATAAAAATATATATTTTTTAAAATTGTTCAAGGAGAGATTTAATTGTTGTCTTAGTTCATTTGGGCTGCTGTAACAGAATACCAGAGCAGGTTGGCTTATAAACAACAGAAACATTTCTCACAGTTGTGGAGTCTGGGACATCCAAGATCAAGGCACTAGCAGATTCTGGTGAGGGATTTCTGGTTCATAGGTGGCCATCTTGTCACTGTGTCCTCACATGACAGAAGAGGCGAGGGAAATCTCTGGGTCTCTTTTGTAAGTGCACTAATCCCCTTCATGAGGGCTCTGCCCTCCTGATTTAGTCATCTCTCAATCTCCTGATACCATCACATTGGGGATTAGGTTTTCCAGTCCTCATTGGGAACCTTTAATCTGTAGCAGTTCTGTTTTTTTTATAGTTTCATTATTTTAATTGAATTTATTAGGGTGGCATTGGTTAATAAAATTATGTAGGTTTCAGATATACAATTCTACAGTACAGCATCTGGTATATGGTATTGTGTGTTTCCCACCCGAAGCAGTCTGTAGCGGTTTTGAACCATTGACTGAGGATGATAGAACATCAGCATAAGCTTTTAAGTTTCTTATCCCTTTGAAGAGATTGTGATGATGCCTCAGAGTCCCTTCTAGTAATTCCGAAAGGCAGAGGAGAAAATCAGGAAGAAAAGAGGGACCCTGCCTAACCAACCAGTGGTAGATCAACCCCATGGGAAGCTTATTCCAGTGTCACTTTCCTGTTTAAAGTGTTTGAAGTGGACTTGGGTTTGATCTTATCATCTTGTCAGATCTTCATCTGCCTCAGCTAGCAGTTGGTTACCTCAGGGGTACCTCGGCGGCTGTATTGTAGTGCCTGGCCCAAACTAGCGGGAATGGTCTTTTCGCTTCCTTCCTTGAGGTTTTAGATGTATGAGCCCAGATAATCATTGTAGGGTTTCTCAAGTTACGGCATACTCTAGAAATCCAAGATGAAAAGGGAGGTTTAAGAGACAGAATACAGATAACCAGAGAGACCCTGAGCCATTCTCTCAGCCAGCACCTGTTTCTTCCTTTTCCCTCCTGAGGGAGATCCTGGGCACTTGAGTGCCTTTCTATTCTCCTGCAAAACTGCCACCTTCCTCTGTTACTCTCTAGGTCTCTCTGACTCTAGTACTCACTATATTCTGGAGTGGAGTCTCTCAGGCAGTCCCCCTCTGCAGCCCTTCCTGCTTTAAGGGGTTTTAGTGCCATCACTCCAGTGAACAAGATAGATTGTGAAAAAGGGCAGTTACATGATTAACTTAGTCTACAAATTCTTAACTGTTATCATTCTGATCTGTAGTTTCTCATCCCTTTGAAGGAAGGTAGACTGGTTGCTTCCCTGGTTTATTTTTGAGGATGAATCTTCAAAAATTCTGGTCTCCACTGAAGATGATCGTGTGGCGCTGTCTCAGTTAGCTCCTGCCTTTGTGCACTCCTTGCCTCATTAGACAGACGGGAGAGCAGGTAACTGCATTTCCTAGAGGTCATTAGATTTAATTGTGTCTTTGTGTATTTCCCTTTAAATCTTAGATTTTACCTGGAGTGAAAGTGGTTATTGTTAATCCCGAGACCAAAGGGCCTGTTGGAGACTCTCACCTTGGAGAGGTATGCATTGTTTTTACCTTTACTCTGAAAAGTCAGCAGAGAAAAACTTCAGGGTTCATGTTCCACAAGTCAGAGAAACTATGGATTTAGCTTTTCCCCCACTGTGAATTTTTATCTTTTAAAAGAGTTTTAATCTTTCTTTGTAAAGCTTAAAGACTGAAATGGGCAGAAGGGGAAGACTGAGACCAGGATGGAGAGAAGATTTAGGCACCCAAACTAGAACTAGTTCCAGATTTGTCCACTGACATTCCCTCAATTGAAAAGGAAAGTGGGCAAATCCTACCTCTTCCCACCTATTTAAGAAACCACAAATATTAAATTCATGCAAGTTTGATATTCTATCCCAAAATGTATTTAATTTTTGTATTAGTATTAAAATGTTTTTAAAGTCTGAATTTTCTTCCCCCAAATCTTTGAGGGACACTGATGTTTTATCTCATAGTTTACTGGGAGGAGTGTTGTAGGTATAAGGAGCCAGATGACCTGGACTCTGCCACTTACCAGCTTCTCAATATTGGGCAAGTTACTTAACCTCTCTGGGCCTCAGTTTCCTCACCCGTCAATAATAATTGTACCTACCTAGTAGAATTGTGTGACAATTAAATGCATTAATACCTGTATCTATAATGCACATAGAACAATGCCTGTTAACATAATGGTTAGTGTTACTAACTAACCATTGTTAGCTATTACATTGTTTACATGATAAATTCAAATACCCTGTGTTGTTTCCTTGAGGGCTCTATACCTTAGTTTCAGAAGCACAGAAATGATCCCCTGAAGCCTTTGTGAGACTCTGGAAGAGGCTGAGAACTGAGCCAGGCGGGCAGTGTAGTGTTGTGGTCAAGAGCATGGCCTCTGCCACACAGGCTTGGGTGTGAATCTCCTAGTTACTACACGTTAGGCGAGTTACTTAACTCCTTGTCTTTTCATTTGTGAAATGGGACTAACGATAGTGTAAACTATATTGTCATGTCATATGTATCAGGAATGAATGAGATAAAGCGTATAAATAAAGTACTTACCTCACTGTTCAGCACCTAGTAAACACTTGAAATGTCAGCTCCCTTTAATGTTGCAGTTGTGTTGTTGCTGTTAATACAAAAATGAGATTAAAAAACTAAAGTCATCTGTGCCAAGAGAATTGAATTGATACACAATATGTGTTCTTTTTTCCCCCTCCACAATATGTGTTCTTGGTGAAATGTGACCAATGTCCTTTTCTTGTAGATTTGGGTAAATAGTCCCCATACGGCCAGTGGCTATTACACCATCTACGATAGTGAGACTCTTCAAGCTGATCATTTCAACACTCGCCTCAGCTTTGGGGATGCTGCCCAGACACTTTGGGCTCGGACAGGATACCTTGGTTTTGTCCGCCGAACTGAGCTCACAGCAGCCACTGGAGGTATCTTCCCCACCAACTCTTCCCCTTCGTCCTGCTTTGCATTTCAGCCAGGAGCCCTGGCTGGCCCTTGGCCTGCCTTTGTATTGTGGTTTGTATACTTAATTATTCCCTCCTATGACTCTGAATTCTCAATATTCATATAAAGTAAGACTTTGCCCCTGAAAAGCACCTAGGAGGTGAACACCTCTGAACTGTCGGTCAGCATAGCCGCAGCCATGGCGATGTGCCTGATGAGGAGTGAATGGCAGGACACGGACCCTCAACCCTCAACCCCCAATCAAGCCCTGGGACAGGTGTTTCATCTTTTAGCCCTTCTACTCTCACATACCATTGTGGAAGCAAGAGGAACAGCTCTGATCTGTAACGGGGAGTCAATGCAGAGGAGCTGTCTGCTGTAGTGCTCCACTATCCCTTTAGTGTCGCATGTTGGACTGAAGACTGCTTGGCAAGGCTCTGGTATAAGCAGTCCCCCCAGTCATCCTCTGCCCAGTTGATTGTCATGGCTCTGCTGCTGTCTGCCTTCAACCTGTCTTCCTGGTGGCATGAATAGCCATTTTTTGTTGTTATTGTTAATCCTCACCCGAGGATACTTTTTTTCATTGATTTTTATAGAGAGTAGGAGGAGGGAGGGAGGGAGAGAGAGAGAGAGAGAAACATTGATGTGAAGGAGACACATTGATTGGTTGCCTCCCACACACGCCCTTACTGGGGCCAGGGATTGAATCTGCAAATCAAGTACATGCCCTTGACTGGGAATCGTACCTGTGACCTTTCAGTGCACAGGCTGACGCTCTAACTACTGAGCCACACCAGCCAGGGCATGAATAGACATTTTAAAATACCCAACTCTAAATATATCATGGACTTCAGGAACTGATACAAATATCTCACTGAACTTTGAAGGCCTGAATTGAGCCACATCATTTATCCTTAGCCCCTTGCATCTGTTCATCCCAACCAGTATCCATAGTATCTCCATGTTTCATGAGGAGGCAGAAACATACTGGAGAAGAGAGAGGCAAGAGGCATCCCTTGCCAGGTGCCCTGGTTTTGAAGCCTGCCTCTGCCCTTTGCTGTGTGACTTTGAGCCATCACTTAACCTCTTGGTTTCCTACCTGGAAAATAGGAGTTATAATGTTTCCTGCCTTGCAGGACTTATGTGAGATTAAATGACAGGATGCATTTAGGTGCCTAGAGCAGTGCCTGGCACACAGAAAACACTCACCAGTCATTAACTACTGTGTTTCTGTTATTGTTTTGTTATTACAGTCTTTGTGAGCTACCTTTTCTTGTCCGATGGGAACTCTGCTGGAGCTCCTCATCCTTCTCTCCAACAGCGTTTAGTACTTTGTTTTGCTGAATTTTTCAGAAATCTACCTTTTCCTGAGAATATTGCATTCAGTAGATCTAGCAAAATCATTTTTCTTCTTAAAAATTTGCTGTCTATATAGACATAAACCATGTAGCCTTGTATGTATAGTGTGTGCATAAAATCTTAAAAAAATAAAAAGAATGAAATTTCTGCCATCTCTTAGCCAGATTACAACCCTATTAATAGTCAGAACTAGTCTCTCCACATTCTCTAGTTCTACTCCTTATACCTGGATTCCTTGAAGATGTCTAGACACAGTGACACGTGTTCATTTCTTTTCCATCTCAATCCTCACTCTCTTCCCTTCCTACTTACCAATTCCTACTTACCCTTAACAGCTCAGCCTGGCTTCAGCTTTTCTAGGCCTCTCTTGAACCTCTGAGCAGTTTGGGAGTGTCCTCTGTTCCCCTAATGCCTTGTGCACACTCCCATCACTGGGCCTACTGTGTTACAATGGAGTGCCCATTTGTGTGTCTGTTTCCCCCAGTACAGTAAGTATCCAGAGCAGGAATGTGTCTTGTCACCTTTGTCTCCCCTACACTTGGCACAATTCCTGGTATAGAGTAGTAGTAGTAATAATAATAGCTAATTTTTTAGCACTTACAATATACCAGGCATCATATAAACTACCTGACATGGATTATCTCATTTAATCCTCGTAACAGCCATGTTTTGTTTTGTTTTTATAATCCTCACCCAAGGATATGTTTTCATTGATTTGATTTGATTTTTTAAAATATGTTTTTATTGAGTTTTTTAGGGAGAGAGAGAAACATCAATCTGCTGCCTCCTGCACGCCCCCTACTGGGGATCAAGTGGGCAACCCAGGCATGTGCCCTGACCAGTAATCAAACCCACAACCTTTTGGTGCATGAGACTAAGCTCAACCAACTGAGCCATACCGGCCAGAGCATATTTTCATTGATTTTAGAGGGAAAAGATGGGGGGTGGGGAGAGAAATAGCCATATGAGAAAAACATCAATCAGTTGCTTCCCTTACATACCCTGACCAGGAATCAAACCTGAGACCCTGGGAATGTGCCCTGATTGGGAATCAAATCCATGCCCCTTCGTTGCACAGGACAGCACTCAAACCAGCTGAGCCACACAGGGCAGGGCACAGCCATGTTTTTATCTTGTCTCACAGAGGGGGCATCAGGACTCAGAGACTTGAGTAATTTGCCCAAAGTTACACGACTAGTGAGTGATAGAGCCGGATGACATGGAAGACAGTCTGAACCCTGTGCTTTTAACTCCAATATTGTATTGTACTCAAAATGTGCCTGATGAACCAAATTTCTCTTTTTCTTTATGTCAGAGCGTCATGATGCGTTATATGTAGTGGGAGCTCTGGATGAAACGCTGGAGCTGAGAGGATTACGATACCACCCAATTGATATTGAGACCTCAGTGTCTCGAATCCACAGGAGCATTGCTGAATGGTAAGTGTCCCCCCAACTCCCAACCCCCCACCCAGAATAAGCTGTCCACCTCAGCTATAGTATCAAGTAAAACTGATCTAAGTAGTCAGCTGTCTGCACCAAATACCACCTAGAGACAGAACTCAGGGGGCCTAAGAGAGTAAACAGACTGATTGTGCCATTTGCTGTGGCAGATGAGGCCAAGGAGACCCGAGACAGGGTCTTAGGAATCATTGCAGAGCTGAGCCCTCTTTAATGATAAATTCTTACCATTGGAAGGGATCTAACCTTTCATCTGCCTCTAGAAAGCCAGTGTAGAATGGTGGACAGAACCATGACTTTAAGGTCAAAAGACCCACCTTAAGGGCCTTGTTCTCCCACTTAGGCTGCTTCCCTCATCTGTAAAATACTCTGTCACTTCCTGATTATTGGGAGGATCCAATGAGAATGTACTTGTAAATTGTTAAATGGTAAGCAGATGAAAAGGATTGTTACTTATCTCTGACCTAATTTCCCTCTCAGTGTAGGAAATCCACCTACGTTATCCCTGATAAGGGATCATCCAACTTCACATTGACTTAAAACTCCTTAAAATTAAGAACTTGCAGTTTTTTCATATTGGCATTTATTCTGGATTCAATACAGTCTCCATCCAATTCTTTTCTACATATTTTTCATTGTGTCCTTACTTGTTTTTTGGTTTTTGGTTTTTCCCCTTGCTCATGCTTTTTTCCTGGTGGTTCATGCTTTCCAGATGCTTCTTTGTCTAAAAATGTTCTCACTTTGGTCAGTCTCTGCTCAGACCTGAACTATTTCCATGAAGTACAAGAAAATGCAGAGAAGTTGGGTGCCATGGTTAATCTTCTGATTTTAGACATTCGACATAAAAATTTTGTTTAAATTGATTTAGAGAGAGAGCGAGAGAGAAACATAAATCTGTTTTTCCACTTATTTATGCATTCATTGGTTGCTTGTTGTATGTGCCCTGACCGGGGATTGAACCCACAACCTTGACATATCAGGATCATGTTCTAACCAACTGAGCCTGCCCAGCCTGGCTGACATTCGACTTTTAATGCAATGAAATATTGTATACATTTTTCTTTAATGATTGGATTCTGTTAAAGCAGTTTAACACTGCATATCACAGGTCAGGTCATACCCTCTAACCCAGCATTCCCACTCAATGTAAGGTAATTTACTGCCTTATGTCACTTCTATGGCATAATAAGAGAGAAACTTGTGTGGGGCACTAAGCTCATATGAGGCCAGGTTGACTCCCTTCTTGTTGGGTATAAGAATATTATCTTTGTCAAAGTTCTTATGTTGCAAATAACAGAAACTCTTTTCAAAACAAACTTAAGCAAAGGAGTTAATAGAAAGAATACCTGGCTGTCTCAGAGTTTCCTAAGAGTTTCTAACTAACTCTGGTTCTCAAGAAAGGCAGAGACAAGGCCCTCAGGAACCACTGTCCTCTTACTTGCTAGAGCCATGTGGGCACCCACTCATTCTTTTTCTTCTCCCTGAAGAGCCATTCTCTGGATTCTCTGCACACCTGGCTACCCCAGAACTTCCAAGTCCACATGTCCTCAGTTCAGGTGACAAGCTAACAACTTTCAGTCCCACTTCCATAGCTAATCAGCTATAATTGTAGGGGCAAGAGTATATATTACAGACGTGGCTGCTAAGAGAGAAGGCAGTTCTCAGGGAAATGGGGATAAGTCTTGGGTAGATACTTTAAAAGATGGCTGATAAATGTAATGACGTGTTAACTGAATGTCATTGAAATTTCAGTGCCGTGTTCACGTGGACCAACTTGCTTGTGGTGGTTGTGGAACTCTGTGGCTCTGAACAGGAAGCCCTAGATCTGGTTCCTTTAGTGACAAATGTGGTCCTGGAGGAGCATTACCTCATCGTTGGCGTTGTGGTTGTGGTGGACCCAGGTGTTATCCCCATCAACTCCAGAGGAGAGAAGCAAAGGATGCACCTCCGCGACAGCTTCCTGGCTGACCAATTAGACCCCATCTATGTGGCTTATAACATGTAACCAGCCTTGTGGATTTATAGGGGGCCATCCTGAAAAACCACAAGGACCAAAGACCAGTGACTTAGAAGCAAGCTTTCAAATGATGTGAAATAAGCTGAGATGGCTACATTATATCCTTCATCTCATCTGGTGGGATTCTGCAATCACAGGACACACAGAAAAGGAGAATTCTATGGTGGCTAATGAAAAAAATGTTAACAGTCATGAGCTTTGACATAGCGTAAGCAGCACGTTACTAAAGCAATTACATGCATGTTGCATATTTTTCATCTGTTGTATATACTTGTATTTTTATCTAAAGCCATTTTAGAATTTTGTAAGGGAGTTTAATGAATTCACATAAGGGAGGTAGTCTGAGTTACCCATTTCCCCACTCTGTACTGTATTTTGCCTTTTACCATAGCTAGACATTCTGCGGGTTTTGTTAACATGGAACTACTCATCTTACTTTCAGTCTAGTCATAAGCAAATTGGATAACTCACTGAATATGAAAATTACTATATATGTAATTCTTGACTACAAAACATTTTGACCATTGTTTTAAACATGTAAATAAGAATACACTTAATTTAGCTTAAAAAATGAAGAATTGGCTTGTATAGTTATAACAACCAAAGTAGAAACATTTCTACTTTGAGAGAATTTCAGATATTCTCTTAATGCGATGTAGTTGACTAGGTAACTAAAATATGCAAATTGTTTGCAGGTTTCACTGCACATTGTACTATGTCTCTATTGGCTGGTGTATTTTATAAACTAAAGCTGCCTATGTTTGTTTTCAAAGCTTGCATTCCCAGAATCAGCTTAAGCTTTTAAGAATTCAACCTGTGTCTACAAGCTGAAAAATATCAGTTTAAAAATCAAAATGTTATTAAAAAGCTCAGATTCATTAGATCCCACCCTATTCTAAGGACCCACAATAACTCACTCTGGCCCCCAGTGTTGAAACTGTCTTTCAAAAATTAAGAGTGACTCCATAAGAATTTAGAATTTCCTCTTTTTCCAGGTCCAGTGTAAACTGTGTCTACAGTTTATACGTATAGCTTCTCTTTTCTGAAAACTGAAGAGTGTCCTCTGTTCTTCCAGTTCATGAGGGCCAGGATTTTAAGAACAAGAATGATAGGCTGGGAAGGCAGTGGGATCAACGTCACGTGAAACTGTAAGGCCACATAACTGTACATCTCAAAACTGACCAATCTGAGTTGCCAAAATAGCCAGGCTTATACTGAAATAGGGGAAGTCTGATGTATGCAAGAAACTCTTTTGAAATAACTGTGGTGCCCAGGCCAAGCAGACTGAACTTGGGACTGAGTTTGGCCTCCAGCTCGGTTTCCTTTCTTTGGTCTGATACTTCATGTATTTGAATATAGTTGAATTTCTTTATTTTTTTCTTACAGAAATATTTTTAAAAATTAAAATAATCAAAAGTGAACAGAGTTAACATGTTAAATCAGAATGGTTCTCTTTGACCCACTCTGGTCTATTGTGTAAATATTTATTTAGACTATTTTAATAATACATATTATTTACCCCACTGTAACATCATGTAAACTAAATATGTTTTTAAACAATTTTTAAGACTTGTAATTACCCTGAAAATAAGGTTTGTAATGCAAAGATCAGACCCTTCGCTGTGGCAGCACTCTTGGGGGCTGCCCTTACACAGTCTGTGACTCAAAGACACTTTATGACTCCCTGTTACATAATCCTCTTTTCCTCCCAACTCATTCTCTACAGAGGGCAGACCTCAAGACATTTTCCAGTTCCAGGTCTCTTTTTCAATATTTTGAGTGAAATTAATTTACAGGTAATGGGAGAGGTTCTAGGATGTGCAGGAAAAAAAAAAAGCACTTACATTGGGGCAAGAAATCCCAGCGACTAGCAACAGTTTGTTTTGCAGAGAAAACAGCTTGATTATTTGGAAAATAATTTTCTTAAAATATTTCTTACTGATTCACTAAACAAAAACAAGGTATCCTGAGGAGTAAATAGTTTTATCTCCATAATCCTTAAGTTCTAAGAAAAAAAAAAATAGAGCCTGTTCTATGGGTTGCTCTGATCATTCTTTACTACACAAGTTAGGGTGTCTGGTAGAAGTATCATGTGAGCCACATCTGTCATTTTAAATTTTCTAGTAACATTTTAAAAAGTAAAAAAGAAACAGGCGAAATTGTCTTAATATATTTTATTTAACCCAATATATAAAAATATTAGCATTTCAGTGTGGAATCAATATAAAAAAATGATGAGATAGCTTACTTTTTGTCTCCTATTAAGTCTTTGAAATCCAGTATGTACTAAGCACATCTCTGTTCAGACTAGCCGTATTTCAAGTTTTCAGTAGCAACATGTGGCTAATGGCTATGATATTGGACAGTGCAGATTTATATTCATTCCTTAAAGTAAGAATCCATTAATCTCTAAGTGTGGCCATTTCCCAGTTACTTAGGGGCTGATTATCTGGTTTATAGTTCCTCAGGCTTCTTTATCTTTAGTTTTTTCTTTCTGCCTTATGGCTGCTTTATTGATCTTTCGTGTATCCCCTAAAGGCAGAATATGCTTGTGGAGGAAGGAAAGCTGAGATGTGTCTTTGGGAGCTTCATCAGTAGCTCTGGTAAAGTACCTCAGGAAGGGAAAGAGAGTCCAGTCATTAGCTTAGAGGTGTTTGTGCCTAGTCTGTTGCAGACTTGGATAAGAAAACTTATTCTTGATGACACAATGCTCTTGCTCTTTCCACATTAAGTAGAACCTTTGTGGTAAAACTGACTCTTAAGACAGGCCCAGAAGGCCATTATTGATAGAAAGAGCCTTGCCAAACCTCTGGAACACATTCTGTCTGGGTTTTTATGCCTGTGAAAAAGAAAACTAAATTATTAGCAAGTGCCCATCACCACCATGTTTCAGTTAAGAGAAATCTGTTCATCTGAAAGTTTTTGACCCTCTTTCTGCCTCTCAGCAGAAGTAACCGAGGTAGACCAGGAAAGAAGCTACCTCAGGAAAAATCCTAGGCCCTAGGGGTTCTTAGAGCTGTACACATGCCATCTCCTGCATCAGTGAGACCCTGGGAAAGACCAGCATGCTGATGGGCGTCAATGAATCCAGTCTTCACTTCCTGCCTCATAAAGGGCCCCAGTTACCCCAGTACCAAGTCCTTTCCTTATGAAGCTGTGCTGCCTCAGGCTGTTAGGGACCATTGCCTATTTATAGGTCTGTGAGTATGTCTCCTTAGTCCCTGGGCAATGCTTGCTTAATGCTTTTGTTGAATCAACAAAGGGCCTGAGGCCTTAGGTTTTTTATTAAGGTCTCTGCCCCAGGCATGGTGCTCAATATCTTGGCCAAATAAATTACTTTCTTGAATATCCAGGAATCTTTTAGACTAAAGCAATGAGGAGTTACCACCTCACCCTCAAACTCCAACATAATCTATGCCTTAGTGTTGTTTTTGTTGTCTGCTTTGATGTAAAAGCAAGAGTATTTGGAGCAAGAAGCTGCAGTACTCCAAATACACAATAGGCCTTTTCATTATTATTCATACATTTCTGGTTTAGGTATATGTAGATGGCCATGCTATCTGTCCAGAGGAAGAGACTGTAAAGATATAAGAATAATTTTTTAGTCCTAAATGCTGTTTTGTTTACTTTCTGTCAAGATATTTACCAGTGTCAAATTCAAACTATAATACTGTGTAATTATGTATAAAGTTTTTTTATTTATTTGAAATTAGACTAGATATACATTTTTAAATTTAACATCTGGCTGGACAGTGTTCTATTAACTCATTGAATGTGTTTCCTTTGTCTTGTGTTAATAAATATTGATGCCTGATTGTGTTTAATGCTTCACACATTGGGAGAGTTGATAAATTGTAATTTATAAGTTTTAAATCTAACTTCAGGTTGTAATACCCAGAGATAGAGTGGTCTAAGAAAATGAACACAGAGATCATAGCACATCAGTGCTATAAAAGGAGGCCAGATCAAGAAACAGTAGAGTCATTTTGAAAACTAAGCCTTTTGTCTGTAACAATTATAGCTTAGTTTTCCTCCTACTTACGTGGCATTTGCTAGTTTTAAACTTATGATTGTCAATTTTAATATTTTTCTAATGTGTAATTGGATTGGATTTCATCTTTCCCTAAAGTAATACTTAATTTGCTCTTCCATTTCTTGGTTTCAAGAAACTTGATGAGAGCCCATAAAATTGTGCATGTTTTCAGACATTAAAACTGATGTTTGAATTATGGTCCAAGCTATTTAGGCAGCTAAGAACATTTTTTCATTTAACACGTGTTTATTGAGTGCCAATCACTAGGCACAAGGCACTGTAATAAGAACTGAAGCGAGAGAAAAGTAATCAAGTCACTGCCCTTAAGGAAATATAGGAAAACAGTACAATATGGTTAAGGGTTACAAGTAGAGGTGGACTGTTGGGACAGGTAGGACAGGCACCCAATCCAGCAACGAGGGAGAATAGTGAGGAATACATGCTGGAGAAGGTAACATCTGAACTGAGTTTTGAAGGATGAAACAACCAGATAAGATCAAGACAAGGGGGAAGGCAGAGTTGCATGTTCTGGGGACTGCAATTCATTGTTAGGATATAGGGTGTGAAGGGAGAAAAGTAAAAGATAGTCGGAGGCTTGAGCTAAGGATAGATCACTCAATAGCCTTGTATATCATGCTAAGAATTTTGGACTTTTATCCAGTAGGCCAAAGAAAGCCAATGAGGGATTTGTAACAAAGGAACAAAACGCCCAAATTTGCAACACAGATTACTCTGGTAGTCATATAGAAAATGAATTGGTGTGGGAAGGGGAAGGAAGGTAACACCTGAGGCTGGGATGCATTTGCAGTAACTGCAGTGATAAAGCAAGAGCACTTCAACCAACAGTGACAGGATGGAGACAAGAGGCAATGCTTGCCAAACTTGAAGAGACTGTAAGATTTCAACTACTGAGTGTATATTCAGGTTAAGGGAGGAGGAATTCACAGTAACGCCTAGGTTTGTCTTGGGGAGTTAGGTAGGTATGGGGCCATTTACCAAGGCAGGGGAAAAAGAAGAGGAATAGATTTGGGGAAAAAGATGCTGTGTTCCATTTGGTCATGTTTATTTGAGGTGCTATGGAACATGCAAGTGAAGATAGGTCCAACAGGCTGCTGAATGTTTAGTTCTCTGCCTTAGAAGAGTTCTGGCCACGAACTAGATACTTGGGAGACTTCCCTGTAAAAGTGGTAGATGAAGCCATGGAAGTGGAAGATATTACCAAGGAAAATCATGTAAAGTGAGAAAAGGATCAATAATGGGAGCCATGGGGAACACCAGTATTTAAAGGCTGGTGGGGAGCCCTGCCAGGCGTGGCTCAGCGGTTGAGCATCGACCTAGGATCCAGGCGATTGGGGTTTGATTCCTGGTCAGGGCACATGCCCGGGTTGCGGGCTCGATCCCCAGTCGGGGGCGTGCAGGAGGCAGCCGATCAGTGACTCTCATCATTGATGTTTCTATCTCTCTTTCTCCCTCTCCTTTCCTCTCTCTGAAATCAATAAAGATATATTTTTAAAAAAATAAATAAATAAAGGCTGGTGGGGAAAGAAGAGTCCACAAAGGGAGAAGGAATAACTGGAGAGAGAGGAGCACAAATATAAGAAAGAGCACCGGCACAGAAATTATAGGAAGTGTTTTAAAGAGAAGGGGAGTGATTAATGATGCCAAAGGCTACAGTAAAGCTGAGTAAAATGGGGGCTGGCCAGCATCTGCTGAATCTGGTATGTAGGAAGTCACTGGTGACCTTGGTCAGAGCGACTTCAGTTGCAGTTAAGGGAGAAGACAGAAAACTGGTTCAGATGAGGAGTGATGTGAGTTGTGACTGAACAGAGGCTACTCTTTCTGGAAGCCTTATCTTTACATAGGAAGGAAAGAGATTGGATAATAGTTAAAAGAGGGTTGTAAAATTGAGAGAGGTTGTTCAAAAATGGAAGAAATAAAGTATTCCTGTGTTGGGGAAAGAGCCAGTAAAGAGGGAAAGTTTCCAAACATAGCAATAAGGGGTAATTGACAAAGCAAGGTCACTGAGGAAGCAGGAGGGGTGGGGATCCAAAGAACAGGTGGAAGGATTAGTCTTTGAAGGAAGGAAACACATTTTGTCAAAACTATGTGGAGGCAAGATCCTAATAGGTAGAATCCTACCTGAGGACCTCATTCACTTCTCTGAACCTCCACTCTCAGTTTACAAAGATAAACATTTATTTAGTGCTTAGTCTGTCAGGCATGGTTCTAACTTACATGTATTAAACTCATTCAATTCACAAAACTCTAAGGAATAGGAAGTATTATTAAACCACTTCATTATTCTCTCTTTATAGAAAGCCAAAGCAGTGCCACCACTGGTTTGACCAGTTTGTTTTAAAACAATTGCCTTTGGCTCTTCAAAGTTAGATTTGTTTCTTTTTATTTCCTCACTTCTAAAGTCAAAGGCCTATCTGGTTTATAAAACTGTTACTATTCAGATAGAACAGTGTGCATCATAACTTTTTTCCATTTACAGTTATTTTTCAAGGTTCAGGAGAGTGGTGGGTACAGTGTGTGACTTCCATGAGAAAGAAACAAGGACTATGGGAATATCTGTGAGTGGCAGTGTTGCACCATTTAATATCTGATTTAGAGTTAAGACATTTTACAGACGGAAGAGTAGCTAAAGAGGGAGCAATCCGTGCACATTTTTTGTTTGTTATTATTTTTAAATGTTTTTATTGATTTTTTAGAAAGAGGAAGGGGGAGAGAAACATTAATGATGAGAGTCATTGATCGGCTGTGTCCTGCACGCCCCCTGCTGGGGATCAACCCCGGGCATGTGTCCTGACAGGGAATTGAACTGTGATTTCCTGGATCATAGGTCGATGCTCAACCACTGAGCCACTTGGGCCAGGCAAATTTAGTTTCTTTTGACGGTACCATTCCCCAACCCCCTTTTCCTGATTAACATGTTAAGCATTCTGTGTTCCAAGGAAGAAACACACACAAAAGAACAATAAACATAGAACCAGCATTCCAGCCACTAATGTTCTGGATTCCACTGGGCTTTGTTAATCAGGAAAGGTTCATGTCTGAGAACCTCTTCCCCACTCCTTACCTTTATAGGGCACTTTGCTTTCCTATGATATATGACATTTTGATTCTTTAAATAATGCTGGGACATGGGCTGAGTATTATGTTTTCCCAACTTTGATAAGGAGAAGACAAGCTTAGAGAGGTAGGGCAATTTGCCCAATCAAAAATCTAAATAAGGGCAGTCAACCTGTTTTAGTTTTTAATAAGTAGTTGGTGTTTGCTGAATGACAATGTGTAAACCTTTGTGAGCTAGCTCTTAGGAGTGTCTGGCGCACAGTAATTCTTGAGCTTTAAATCACATTATCTGGCCCTCAAGGTTAAAACCAGGAAGGGGCTCTATCTGCTAAATCAGTTTCTCTCATCAAAGAGCTCAAAATAGTAATATTTCCAAAACACTGTGGAACTTTTGGTCAAGAGCATAATAAAAGGTTTATAATTTATCATCACTGTACAACCATAAAAGAACATTTTGCAAGGAAATAGATAAAAAGAAAATGGAGCAGCATCCCGTACACCAAAAGGTTGTGGGTTTGATTCCCGGTCAGGGCACACACCTAGGTTGCAGGTTCGATCCCTGGCTGCAGCTCCTACGGGAGGCAGCCAATCCATGTTTCCTCTCTCTAAAGTAATAAACATATACTCGGGTGAGGATAAAAAAAAAAAAAAAATCAGAAAAGCGCATAATTCCTTCTCCAGAAAAATTCCTTCTCACATTAAAAAATGTTTTTTGAAGTTTTTGTAATGTATTAAAATGACAGTGTAACATTTTATTTTACGACATTCCATCGTATGTAACTCTTCTAAATAGTTTAACTGTTGGCGTAAATCTGTGCTTCAGTGTGACAGACCCTTTGGCACCTTTTTTTCCCGTATCAGGCTTGGGTGAAGGAAAAAGCTGAGGAAGACGAGCCTCCCCACTTCCAGTCATTCTCTCTGCAGGAAGCAGGTCCGGGTGGGTCAGGGCCAGGGACGACAGCTCTAGGCCTAATCGCCCTACTCGGGGCAAGTAGGAGCTGAGCTGCGAGAGACGCCACTAAACCGCCCCACAAGGAGCGGCCCCCTGACATCGTCAAACTGGTGACGGCCTCCGAAAGCACGTAGGAGAGGAAGGAGTGCAGGTAGAGCTCCTGAAGCGAAAAGGAATCACAAGCAACTTTCACCTCCAACTCTCTACGGTTAGCACTTTCAGCGGCCGCAACTCGCCATTCCGAGGAAACCCGGCACAAGATGGCGGCGTGTCACGTGAGCAACGTGGTGACGCAGGACGGCGGCCCGCACGGAGGCACGGCCTTAACCTCACCCCCCACGCTCGCTCAGTTTTGACCCCCTCCCTTCCCCACCCCCGGCCTGGTGTAGATCATGCCGCCAGTGGCGGCCCTGACTGCCGAGGAAACGGTAGCTTAGGACAGTTGGCTGTTGTGACATTGATTCTCCCCGCCCGGCCAGACGTTGAGAAGGACGCACGTCCCCCGCCGCGTGACGGGGTGGGGAAATAGGTAGTAAATTCGGATCCACCTGGGAGGGGGGAGTGGAAGTTCCCGCCCCGGAGAGCGGCTAGGCGACAGCCACAGGTAAGCGGGGTAGGGGGGTGGGGCGTGCTCCCGAGTTCCCGAGCAGGGGGAGGGTGCGGGGACGCGGCGCTGCGGGGACGCAGAGCCG